ATTTGTGTCTCCCACCTGTACACATATGTGTGTTCACGTGTACACATGTGTGTTCCAATTGGACACGTGTTTGTGTTCCAGGTGAACACATGGTTGTTTTCAGATGAACACTCGTGTGTGTGTTCCGGGTGCGCATATATGTGTGTGTGTGTTCACGTGTACGCGAAAGTGTGTTCCGCGTGTACACATATGCGTGTTCACGTGTACACACATGTGTCTTCCAATTGGACACGTGTTTGCGTTCCGGGAGAACACATGTTTGTTATCAGATGAACACTCGTGTGTGTGTGTCTGTGTTTTCCGCGCGCGCATCAAGGTGTGTGTGTGTGTGTTGCGTTCACGTGTGCAGCGCACATGTGTGTGTTTCACGTGTGCAGATGTGCGTGTGTGTGTGCGTTCACGTGTGCACATTTGTGTCTCCCACCTGCACACATATGTGTGTTCACGTGTACACATGTGTGTTCCAATTGGACACGTGTTTGTGTTCCAGGTGAACATTTTCAGATGAACACTCGTGTGCGTGTTCCGGGTGCACATATATGTGTGTGTGACATGTGTGCTCCAATTGGACACGTGCTTGCGTTCGGGGTGAACACATGTTTGTTATCAGATGAACACGTGTGTGTGTGTCTGCATGTATGTGTGTTCACGTGTACACATATGTGTGTTCACGTGTCCACATGTGTGTGTTCCACGTGTACGCACATGTGTGTTCCAACTCGGCACGTGTTTTTGTTCCGGGTTAACAGATGTGTGTTCCACGTGAACACATTAGTATGTTCTAGGTGACCTTTTTTTTTGGAATCTGACGGCATAATTGCTCTGGAGGTGCGCGCATGGATGTGCTCAAGAAAACGCATGATTGTTTTCGAGGTGCGCGCATGTGTGTGCGCTTTAGGTGAGCGTGTATGTTCGCTCACGTGTGCGCATATGTGTGTTCCACGTGTACACACACGTGCGCTTTTATCGCACACGCGGTGATCCTGGACACATATTTGTGTTCCAGTGTCTCACGTGTACACACATGTGCTTTAATTGCCCGTGATTGTGTTCCAGGTGAAAACATGTGATTTCCACGTGAACACACGTGTGTGTCTGAAATGGACACATGTGCGTTCCACGTGAACACATTAGCGTGTCGTAGGTGAACACATATGTGTGTTCCCTGTGTACACATGTGCGTGTGTGCTTTCCAAGAAGCACATGTTTGTTTTCCAGCTCAACGCATTTATGCGTGTGCCGCAGGTGAATGTACTTTGGTATGGATGTTAGGACTTAAACTTTTGCCAACTAATGGGTTTTCCATTAAACCACTAATAGCTAAACTTTTGGCAGGGGAGCAGAAAGCAACCGAGTGTGTGTGTGTGTGCGCTCACGGGTGCACATCTGCGCGTGCCGCGTGTACTGCTTCAGTCGTGTACATATGTGTGTTCCACGTGTGCACACATGTGTGTCTGAATTGGACACGTGTGTCTGAGCTGCCCGCGTGACCGCGCGCTTGCGCAACCTCAGTTCTGGCACGGTGCTGAACCGCGAAGCACGCCAGCAACACACGTGCAGCAACGCAACGCGTGCCAGGTTCACGACTGCATCATTTTGATTCATCCGTGTTGAAGCGCAGAAAGCTAATATATGCTAATATATTTTTGTTATATATCCAACATATAGCCGGGCTTATTGTGGTCTCCACACCTCGGGAGTAGTGGGTGTGTCTTTCTTTGGTGTACCCCTTTTGGGGTTGGCGTAAAGGACACACTTAAGCCCGGGTGGTATCCCCAACAGTTCCGGAACCCCTACAACCTTCCGGAACCCTCCTTGAAAGCTGCCCCCAACCCACCCCGGAGCGCCGCAAAGCCTACCTGTGCAGAGACCCCATAGAAAAGGGAAACCACCATTTTGGGGGGTCCCCCAAAATGCAAACACAACCAAATACACAGGCCAGGTGTGCCATCCTCTGGCCTTTGGAGGTCACCTGGAAAGGACTCCCTGAGGCCATTTTGGGCATCGACTCCTACTATTGGAAGCACCCCATATTCAATCCTATGGGCCTATGGGCAAATGACAGCGCAACTTCAGAAGCAAATCTTGGCACTCGGTTGCCATTGGATGTCGCCCAAGCCAACGATTTCGGGCTTACTGGTTGATGCATTTCTCGCAGAGTCGTTCGGCGCAAAAGTGAAACAATGCCCTCATCCCACAAGAGAAACATGGTGAGGAGAAATGGCATGAACAACGGCCGGCTCCAGGCCGAAATGCACCTTCAGAAGTTGGTTCATGCACCGTGACACTAAGAAGCATTGTGCCATTGTCAAAACTGCTCCTGGGTCCTTTAGGAACCCTAAGGCTTGCCTACAATCCCAAGATGACCATCCCGACCACCAAGCTCGAAAAAAACACGAGGTGGTTCTCTGCTCATTGTGCTGTCTCCACCAATGGACCGCAAGGTTACCCTTGGGTCGTGTTCTCCCTTCTCACCCATTGATCGGTTTTTGGCAAGCAAATGGCGGGCAGGAAATGGGAAATGGGCCTGCCTGGTGTTTAGGGGACCCCCGAATATGGTGGGTGTTCGTGTTGATGTTCTCCTTAAACCACAAAACAGATACACCCAAATTTCCAAAGACCTTTTCGGGTCCCATCTTTGGGACCGTCAAGCAGCGTTGGAAAGCTTCCCAGGAAGGATCCAGCAAGGATGGTGGCCATGTAGACAGGAATCAGCGCCCATGCGAAAACCTGTGCTAAGCGGAGCAGAACAAATTTCAGGGGTCTCTCAGTCTTGACACGATAATCGAATCCGCGGGGCGCTCAACTTAGCGCTGGTCGTTCCTGACATCTGCAGGTGCTTCCAAATGATGCTGACCATGGGCCGGCGTTGCGCTCGGCCCTTGCCAACATACCTCACTCAACCACTGAAACAAGTGACAAGAGAACATGATGTCTTATGTACACCAATTAAATGCGTTTGCTTTCTCTTGGCGGCCATGGCACCTGGGTGTGCCCAATGCAAAGCAACACAACGCCGTGAACATTGCGCAAGCGGCGATGCAGAAGGCCTTGACATATCCTCAGGACCGGTCGAATTGTGCCGATGGGAAGGGTGAGAACCTCTAACACAATCCACGTGCGAGGCCAACCTCTGGTCAAACTCCTGTTTTGTTACGGTCGCTTCCCCATTGAAACTTTCCTGATAAAATGTCCAGGTGTCCACTACCTGCAGAGGCCGTCGTACTCCCACTGGTGGCCAAGTTCACTGTGAAGCCCATGGCAAACACGACACCTGGAGCAAATCCCTGGAACTTCCAGTGACAGCCCGTCGCAAGGAAGGAGCGCCAAACAATTGCAATTGCACAAAGCGCAAAGCTCGGCCTATGTTGATTGTGAGGTAGAAGTAAGAGAAAAACGTCTTTTGCTGCGCTCGCTCTTCCGCATCCTGGGGCTTGCTGCGGATAGACTCGCACAGCGGGCCCTCAATGACTCAAGTCAAGCCTGCACATCGTACTGATCCGCGCCGAAATTCATGACATTGGGCTTGATGGCCCCAGTTCCCAGAGCGACGAACACAAAGGCACCAAACCTTCGTTCAGCGAAGCTCAACATCCGACATCCCATGGGCATGGGCACATGCAGAAGCTGAACAATGTGAGATTGTGCCACGCGACAAGTATAGAGGTACGCTGGCATCTGTTGCCATTATCGCTGGCACTGCCGAAAGCGCCACAATTGCCACGCCAAGTACGTAGACACCGGCAAAATATAGGATGGTCCTGCATCGATTACACACCGTCATGCTCTCGCAAGCTATAATCCAGAAGTGGAAGCGAACAGGAAGCCCTTTCGAATGCCGCAGTTTTACAAAAGCACTGCCAGCTCTTCTATACTCTATCGTTGGAGGAGCGTGACATGTGACACCAAACATGCACACAAGCAATGGCTCGCCCCTACCTGTAGCGGCCCAAGCGGTTGTCCGCCAAATATCCACCCAGCAAGCAGGAGAGATATGACATCATTGACCAGCAGGCCGACACCGAGAATGCAGCGGAAGCCTTCTTTCACTCGACTCCAAAGCTCTAAATCTCTTTTCGGAGCCTCTCCCGCGAACTAAAAAGAAAGGTCAAAGACTTCCAGCACTCTATTGCAGCTTCGCGGCCTGCATGCCACGGGTCCCTGGCACGTGCGCTAGGCGGGCGCAATCTAAAGCACAAAACCTGACATCCGTTCACCCAATGGCCTTGCCCACCAGGACCAGCATCCTCTAGGAAATTTCGCTGGGAGCCTGCGAGCGCGAACGGGTCTTTTTTGTCATAGTACCCATTTTATACCCTTCGAACCATTAGACAATGAGCCATTTTGGGAGGTCGGAAGCCCTACTTTGAGACAACCCCGAATCCCAAATCACGCACCTTGCAGCGTGTAGTAGCAAAGCCTCTCGCACATCTCGACCACCAGGATGAAGGAGCAAACTCCAAAGAGCTTGTTCCTGTCGAAACTCTGTCTGAGCGGGCGCAGGTCGCGAAGCCCAGAGTTTGCATCCGCCACTTGAATGCTTCCAAAGTGGGGATGTGATTAGGTTGACCATTTTGGGGGAACGGACCAAACAAGGGAAACGGCCACTGATCTGAATTGACCCCTGATTGCAAAGGAGCGTACCCGACTGCCCTGCCCTGCGTCCTCTTCGGCCCTTGCGCCAGCGGAGCTGAGGCATCCTTTGAAGCTTTGGCTCGAAGCAAGCGAGTCACAGGCCAAAACCTATTAATCTTTTTGGACAAAGTTCTTCAAACGGTCCTAGAGACTGGGATGGGGGGCCCACAATGTCGACACTGCCACATTTCTGATTGAAACGTCAAAACCAGACATCTAGCTATGAGCTCCTCCATAATCCGCAAGGCTGCCCAATCAGCGCCTTTGCTTCATTGAAGATCTTTGAGCCCAAAGCTGCAATTGCATCGGAGAAAGCGAGCGTGCGAGACTGAGACTGCAAAGGCGGCGAGCGGCGGCGTCCCAGCCTCGGTCTGGAAGGAGGCCAGACCTAAGTCTCCATCTGGGCCCTCTGAGGCGAGCGTTCGCGACGCATGGCAAAGTTCCTTCCGTGAAACCAGGTTTGCCCAAGCACCACGCGGCGCTCGGCAGAATTTCCAACAGCACCAGCCCAGCAACGCCAGAACCTGCTCAAAGCCATACAGAATATACGAACAATAAGCATAGTCATAGATTCTCTTTGTTCCACTTGCAACATTAGCCGTAACCGTCAACGGTATCACCAGCCCAGTGTTTTACGGCTCCAGCCCGGGACCACGTTGCTCGAAAGTTCAAGCCCAAAGTAGTTGTTGTGTTCAGAATGCAAGCAACCATTGCCACTGACAAAGATGCATGTCCTGCTTTCTTTCCTTACAAGGGCTTTTCCGGGTCTGAAACAGGTCTCTAGTCCAGTCCACACCAAAGGGACGGATACGTGTCATTGGCCGGCTTGAGTTTTTGCTCCTTGTATACCGGTAAGCGCATCAATCCGGTCCGATAGCTGAAGTTAGCGGCATGGTTTGCTGTAAGCCTTCATTCGGCGACACTACACTCCATGTTCTGCTGTGTTGCAGCAAGCAAAAACCATGGTGATGTTGTAGTCTGCAGTTGTGCTCCGGATTCCGCAGGCAGTTGCCGCATCACCTTTCTCAAGGTTGAAAGACAAGTCTCCGCGACCATGTCCGATGTAGAAGAGCTTTTTTAAAATACTTTTTGGCATTTTCTACCAGTGCACGGGAAGTGGATTCGAAGACCTCCCCATCTCAAGCGATAGATGACAGCAAGATACAGCAAGCGCTCGGTTCCCTTGGGTGGAATCTTTGGGACGACTCAATGATTTAGGTGAATGCCAGACAGACGAGACAGGCTTCGCCTTGAGCCCCATGTCCCTCACCACACGCACAGCCAACTGTGCACCGTCGCTGTTTTTGCAGTCGAACCATCCACACCAAGGCTCCGACTTGCCCAGATTCTGCAAGTCCTGCGTTGCTAAAAAGGGCCCTCGTTGTCTTGGATTAAATGGGGCGTGGCTGTGGTGTTGAGAGGTAACCGAACCGTGCGGTGCCAATCGAATAGTGCACGGACCATGCAGGCTTGTGCCGTTGTTTCAGCTCAAGCCAAGCCGTAATGAACAGGCCGATGGAATTGCGACAAATGGCCTGTGCAAAAGTTTGCATGACAACTGGCAGCCTGTACATTCCAACTTCTCTGGACCAAAGAGCGCTGCTGCCAGTCGAGCAAGGACTTTACAACTGCAATTGTGCATGTGCGTCACAAAACTTTACAAATCTACCAATCCGACTAGTCTGCCTCTCCTTTCGGAAGGGCCCAGAATTTCACAGCCATCACGCTCCACCGGCACTAGCCCGACATGTCTCGCGCTCGAGGGAGAGGCAAGCGTCGGCCGCCGCCTTCGCGCCGCCGGCCCCGCGGAGTTTGTCGCCCAGGGCGGCCGCGCGGCTCCGGAACTCGCCGCAAAACAGCGCCCGGATCGCCGCGGTGATCTCGCCGCGGGGAGTGGCCAGCAGATCCGGGAAGCACAGCCCGGCGTTTTGGCGCTGGATGGCCTCCCCGTTGGTCGGCTGATCCACGCAAAAGGGCACCACCACCATAGGCACGGCCAAAAGAATGGCCTCCTTGACGCTGTTGAAGCCCCCATGCGTGACGAAGACATCAGCGTGGCTCAGTGCAGCCACCTGGTCCACATATCGCCTTGCCACCACATTTGCTGGAAGCTCGCCAAGCATCTCCATGGCCTCCTCCTTAGCGCCCACCGACAAAACCACCCGCACGTCGGACCTGCCACCAAAAGACTCGATGATTTCGCTCCAAAGCCGTTGGCTGAACTGGCGGCCATTGATCATTCCCAACGAGGACACGTGCTCAGCCGCCTCCCAGCGGCTCTCCACCGTGATGGTGCCCAGAGACACCAGGATCAGCTTTACTCCGGGCACCCTTCGCCACTCGTCCCCCGACGCGATGGCCGATGCCACGCGGGGCACCGAGGAAATCAAGTGGTCCGTAGCGCCCACCCAGCAAAACGAGGAGCTGTCCAGAAGCTTCTGCTGGTGCTGCGCGACGATGCCCTGCAGCTCTGGGATGGAGAACACGATGTTCCGGTCCGGGCTGAAAAACCGGCCCAACAACTGTGACTCGAAGACATCCACGTTGAACAAGTCCTTGGCAATCTCGTTGACAGGCCGCAAGCCAGGGTGCTGTGGCAAAGATAGGTCCAACTTCTTCCGCTCCTCCGGCTTGAGCGCATATAGGTGCATGGGTGTGCCTGGCCCTGGGTACGTGGAGAATGAGCAGGTGGGGATCCCCAGCTTGCAAGCAGCCAGGTACGGATGCAGCTGCATCACGTTGTAGAGCACCACATCCGGACGCCAGGACGTCCAAGTCTCTAATAGCCGGCGGCCCAAGACAACACCACAAGGCAGGCTGTAGAAGAGCATGCGCATGGGCATGTCATCCTCCGAACACTCTGGTACTTGGCATCCGTGAGCTGAAAACCAGGTGGCCTCTTCTTGCAAAAGCTCCTCCCAGCGTGGGAAGTACTCGTCGAACATGCAGACATTGGCTCCTACGTTCGTCACATCCTTCACGAAAGTGTCTTTGGACAAGTAGTAACGCACCTCGCAGCCCTGCTTGACGAGCTCTGCGACCACCGGGAGCACTGGGTTCACAGTGCCAACAATCTCCATGTTGAAAACGGCCACACGCACCATCTCGTGCTGGCTGATGCTACGTACCACGTGGCTTGCAAAGGTCGACACTGCACCCGAGTCTTGACCCCGATTTTTGGCGCGGGCAAGGGCTTGGTGCTGTCTGCCACGGCACTCGTAGCTGAACATGCATCGGTCAACAACGCGATAGAAGAAACCCTGCAAAAGGCCCCACCTCCACCAGGTAGGCCTCTACGGTCTCCAGGAGCGTCTTGCTGCCTCAGGCCGAGAGTTCTGATAGTAATCTCTCCGGCTCCCAGGAGCTTGGTGAGGTGTTTAACCGTTCCGAAGGGTGGCACAGGCAGTTTCCAAGGCGTCTGACATCTGCCCTCTTTGCCAAGCAGCTCGGGGACCAAGATTGGTTCAGCCCCTGCGCAAGGCGAAACGAGAATTGATTCAAAGTTCCCATGACACTGGGCTGGCCTTCCCTCAGGATTCCTTCCACTTGACATGATTTTTGCAGGTTCTGACCATCCCTGCTGACCCTAACATCTTGTGGTGCAGGCGGGTTGCAAATGACATTGTTTAGATTGTTCTTGTTTCAGGCACGTAAGTATACACGTTATCCTCAAGCATCTTTTCTAGGGTTGTGTCTTGAATTGGCGTGGAGGAGTCCCACAAACGTCTTTGAGGCAAATCACCCACAAGGGTTCTTCGAGACAAACCCAAAGCGACCAAACTCGTCTCTTCCCAAGATGGTTGAGCCATATTCGGCCTTACCACGCCCCCCTTCGCCAGGCAAAGCAACCTGAGATGGCCCGCCTCGCGGCAGCCGCTAAGTAGCACCAGCTGCTCAATCAGAGACCGAGCCTCTCGAAAGCTGCTCTTGCACGGGCCCCGGAAAAGGGGAAACATGGGGACTGCAACTATGCCTCATCCAGAGGAAACTGGCACTGTCCGGACACGCTTTTCATGGCGAACGCTGTTGGGAGAAAGCATTCTGAAAATACAGCAAGGAAGCCAACCTGGCAAAGCGTAGGAAGCCCAAAGGAAACCAACGGCTTGCAATCACGAAGGAGATCGCCACCTGGGGTTGTAAGAAAACCCCGTGACCTTTTAATTGACCCTCAACACCGTTATCGTTTTTTCTTCATTATCGTTTTACAGGTAATTGGTGTTGGATGATAATTCTGTAGTAATAGTAGTAGCAGCAGCAGCAGTAGTAGCAGTAGTAGTAGTAGTCGTCGTCGTCGTAGTAGTACTAGCTCCTTATAAAGCTCCTTACAAAGCTTCTTCTAAAGCTTCTTCTAAAGCTTCTTCTAAGCTTCTTATAAACCTCCTTACAAAGCTTCTTCCAAAGCTTCTTACAAAGCTCCTTACAACGCTTCTTATAAAGCTTCTTAAAAAAGCTTCTTATGAAGCTTCTTGATAAAGCTGCTTATAAAGCTTCTTCTAAAGCTTCTTTTTCAAGCTGCTGAAAAAGCTTCTTATAAAGCTTCTTATGAAGCTTCTTATAAAGCGGCTTATGAAGCTTCTTATAAAGCTGCTTATAAAGCTTCTATAAAGCTTCTTATAAACCTTCTTATGAAGCTTCTTTATGAAGCTCCTTATAAAGCTCCTAGGCTTTATAATACTAGTACCAATACTAGTACCAGTACTAGTACTAGTAGTAGTAGTCGTAGTAGTAGTAATAGTACTGGTGCTAGTACTAGTACTAGTACTAGTAATAGTAGTGGTGGCGGCGGTGGTCGTGATAATAAATGTAGCAGTAGTACTAAGGAAAATAAAAGTAGTTATAATCGTAGTAGTAATACTAATAATAATAATAGTAATAGTAGTATGAGTAGTAACAATACTTGTAATATTAGCAGCAGTAATAGTAGCAGCAGCAGCAGCAGTAGTAGTAGTAGTACTATAGCAGTAGTAGTAGAAGTAGTAGTAGTAGTAGTAGTAGTAGTAGTAGTAGTAGTAGTAGTAGTAGTAGTAGTAGTAGTGATAGTAGCGGTGGCGGTGGGAATAATAGTTGTAGCAATAATAGTAGTATTTCAGGTAACCGTAATAGTAGTAGTAGTAGTAGCAGTAGTAGTAGTAGTAGTAGTAGTAGTAGTAGTGATAGTAGTAGTAATGATAGTAGCAGTAATAGTAGTAGCAGTAGTACCACTAGTAGTAGTAGTAGTAGTAATAGTCGTGGTGGTGGTAGTAGTAATCATCATAGTAGTAGTAGTAGCAGTAGTAGTAGTAGTAGCAGAGTAGCAGGAATCGTAATAAAAATCGTAATCATAGTTTGACAATTTGCTCAAATGGTCCTGTGGTGGCTTCAGGCACTCCGGGGCTGCTTCAGACATGTTTCGAACTGTTTCGGACTGCTTTTTAGACCTTGTGGTTTTGAAGCTTGACGCGGCACCCCTGTCTCTTGTTAATAGTAGTAGTAGTGATGGTAGTAGTTAGTAGTAGTAGTAGTAATAGTAGTAGTAGTAGAAGTAGTAGTAGTAGTAGTAGTAGCAGTAGCAGTAATAGTAGTAGTAGTAGTAGTAGTATAAGTACTGGTTGTACTAATAGTAGTTGTATTTGTAGTTTATGAATAATAATAATTGTAACAATAGCAATAGTAATAACAATGGTACTCTGAACACAACAGCCAGCTTCGGTGATTGAATTCTGCACTGTCAAGGCACCAAAAGGAATAGTCAAAGCTTTGGATTACCGGACACGTAACTGGGCACACATTGCAATATTTTAGCTTTCACGAGACATTCAAAGTCTGAAAGGGTACGCCATTCAAAAGCTCGACGAGCAGGGGGTGTTAAGGAAGCAACAGTTTCACATTGCTTGCATGCGTTGGGCCCAAACTCCCGGATAGACCCGGAACCTCTTTGCGGTCCAAGTGCACTGAACGGATTGGACAAACAGATCCGATGCTCCGTTTTGGGACGAAGGACAACAAGGTAAGGTGGATTCGCCTACGCCATTTGCAATGGCACTTTCGCGCTAGCACCCCCTAAGCAAATGAAATTGATCGGTAAGATCAAAAGCTCTTTAGTTTAGTAGCGCCTCGGACACTTCGCAGTAGATCGCGTCTGCCATGGCAAAGCACCAGCAGTCAAAGCACCATGCTCACACATCACGTCTGCATCAAGTCATCCAGGGTGGATAATCTGGCGACCCTATCTTGGGGGTCTGCTGGCAGATCTTCAAAACTCAAGGGAAACTCATTTGGGTTGCCTGTCAAACGAGAGAATGCAATGTCCCAATAAAACAAGGCAGGCCCACGGTATAGGCGGTCTTGTCGTTGCAGCAACATGCTGAGTGTCTCCTCGACAGGCGTCCCAGGGCCCCATCTGCAAGATGCGAAGGTGGGAATCCAGGAATTGAGGTTTCCCGACATCGGAAGGGTGAGGTATCAAAGAAACTTATCAAGCATCAACAACACGTCGCCCTGCAAATCAAAAAACAAAACCTGCCAAGCGCCAACAACTAACTTACTGGGCACCATCTTGCTGCAAAAATACAGTAAACAGCTTGAAGACCGCGTTTGTTCTAGCCTCTTGTACTAAAAAAAAGATTCAAAACAAACAGGCATGGCTGAGGGTGCTTCGTTTAGAGCTTGTTCGGGGCGGGTTTACTGCGCAGCTTGAAAAAGGAACACAAACAACCGCATCAGGCAATCGTTCCTTCCTTCCTTCCTTCCTTCCTTCCTTCCTTCCTTCCTTCCTTCCTTCCTTTCCTTCTGCATTGTTGCCTTGGGAATGGCAATACGTCGTGGTTGACGCTTAATAAGTTGTTGCTTGATACCTTTCCCACATTGGAAGGGCTGTGCAATCTGGCCACAATCATGGTGGACCCTTTGCTGAACCTGATCGGATTATTGTGCAACGCATCCAAAGTCAGTAGACCCCGAGTTTTCGCTTTCGCCCGTCCCCGAGCAAGAGGCCCAGGAGGAGCAGCACGACCTAGATCCACAAATTGACAAATCTCCGATGTGTAGCTCCGGACCAAAACACGCAAAGCTTGCTGCGAGCTTGGCTTATAAGCACAAACTTAAGCCGACCGCGGCAAAGGCATTCTGCGAGAACTGCGTCATGTCATCCTGCAAACAATTGCCGGCCATGCTTGAAACGAAAACCCTTCTGGGTGCGCCTTTTTGAGGGAGCCCTGTTTGGTTGTTGTGTTAAAGGGCAACCAACAGGAAGCCAGCCATTCTTGGGGCTCCCCGCGCAAAAACAAATATGAGGTTGACCGCAGGAACGCCTTTGCATTCCCGGGAAGCAAGAAAAACTCCGCATGCGCGCCGCAAATCCTTCAGCACCTCTTGGGCAGGTGTGGCCAAGAGGCTTCGAAGGCTTGTGGCTAATGGGCCTCACGGCTTGCCCATGTCATTGCTTCGGCCGCTGGCTTCAAGGCAACGCGGTTTCACCCCCAAAACGCACACACTCAAGCGAGACTCGAGTCATTGCGCCAAGCAGCAAAACAGACCGGCAGCAGCCACACCGCAAGCTGCTGCTCGCGCCAGGATCAACCTCAGCGTGGCTAACGGTTTGCTTGAAAACTGCCAATCGGGACACTGCTCGGACACAAGAGACACAGCGAGACATTTCCTGGGACCTGAGGCGCGAAGGCGCTGCGGCCCTGTGATTTGCTCCTGCGGGCCAACCGCTTCTCTGCGTGAACATGGGCGCGTTCGTTCAGAGGTATCTCGCCTGGCACTGAGCAGACAAAATGCCACATTGTATATATCTAGAATCATACTGTGTGTATACGCATACATATATATATATACATATATACGTCATCATTAGCATTACTCAAATTATTAGTGTTTTCCTTATTGCTATTGTTATTATAGGCAAAATTATTATTCCTAGTATTACAGTATTGCTATTATTTAGTTACTTATTCATTACCAGTATTATTTGTTTGTTACTAGTACTAGTGCTATTATTGTTATTGTTGTTATCGGTATCATTATTATTAGACATATTATATATATATATATACATATGGTCGCCTTTTATATTATATGTATGTATACGTGTAACATTGTATGTACACATGTCAGATGTGATGCAAAGAAATAGAAAGGGCGATAAGAGACAGAGAGCGCTCCTGGTACCCGGTGATTCATCACTTTCACCTGCGTGCAAGTGCCACTTGCTGTGCAATGGAAGACAAACCCCTGTCCTCAACGGGCAAACCATGAGGTCCCATGCATTGTTTCCCTTGTAATCAAAGGGAGCACAACAATACTGTTCAACAGTATTGAGTATTGTGCGGAAAAGTCCCTTTATCAGGAAACTCCCCGACTCCGTACATCGCTTGGGTTAAGACATGGTTACATGCCTTGTGCAGCGCGGATGGTGGCGCCAAGAGCCTTGCAATCGGATTTGAGCGGGCAATCTTTTTTGTGGAGACTCTCTTCGTGCTGCGGCATGCGGATGGCCCTTCCTCCCTCAATAGCAAATATGGTTTGGAAGGCTAATCAAGAACTAAAAAGAGACTTTCCTTGTTCCGTTTCTCACCACAAGAGAAAACTCACATACTCTCAACCCAGAAATGTGAACCTTTTGGAACCGAAGCTGGGCTTTCCGGCCACAGACGCCACGGACGCGGGAGCGCGGAGCCGCAAAGTCGCCGGAGCTGAAGGCCTGGAAGGCCTTGGGGTTCGCGTCGTGGGAATTGCGCGGGCCTGTCAAAGGCTGGGAGTTTTCGCTTATGTTCTCCTGGCCGCCCGAACTTGGCCTGTTGTTTCCTGCGGGTTTCCTTGCCCCCAGGAAAATGGTCTATTTCCGAACAACGACGGCTTTCCTGCGGTCTCTGCCTGAAAGGTCAACGGAGCAGCGAGTGCCATGCTCGACTGCACGGCCAGGATACCATGGACTATAGCCTATAGCTCAAGCTTCAAGGGCCAACTCCATGCCTTCAAACCCAGCGCCTTGCCTCAGCGGGCTTGAGCTGAAGGGATCTGGAACAGTTTACGAGCGTGTGGCAGCTTTGGACAAAGGCTGGACGCATGCAGAACTGATATGTTGGAGGTTGGGGTGAGCGCCCCGCAGCGGTAGGTGCAACACTACCCAACTATCATGGCTGCAAAAGTAACCATGGAGAAGATGGTGCAGTCGGCTTTGAAGCGCAGTGCTTGCCACCGAAACTAGCAACTACTCCCTCAGCTTCTGAATTTACCAGCACAGTCTCAGCAGTCAAGGTAGACGAACGCGGCAGGGCAGTCGCTGCCTCTGCGGCATTCATTGGATCTGCCGTCATTTGATCGGCAGGCGAATTTGCCCAAACCTCCAATTGACAACTTAAATCAACAAGGTTAGGCGGCGGGACTCAATGCCCACAGCGGCAGCGGCCTTCTTTGCCACCGCTGGCGACTCCTCAGTCGACGCGACGCCAGTCGCTATGGCATCCTTCAGGGCGGCAGAGTGGTCCTCTGCAGCCTGCTGGATGGCTGCTGCATGCGTCTCGGCAGCCTTCTTCACCGCAGCTGCCTGCTCCTCGGTGGCCTTCGCCACAGCGCCCACGTGCTGCTCTGTCGCCTCTTGTGCTGCCTGGGTCTGCGCAGTCAGCTTGTTGGCAGTTTCCTTGAGAGCTGCCTTGGTCTGCGCAGCAAGCTTGTCAGCAGCTGCCTGGGTCTGCGCAGCCAGCTTGTCGGCAGCCTCCTTGGCATCTGCCGCGGCCTGCTCGGTCTGCTCTTGCAGCTTCTGGGCGGCCTCTTCTGCTGCCTTCTGGGCTGCCTCCTGGCTTGCCGCCAAGTCCGCCGCAGTCTTCTCAGCGGCTGCCTGCATGGCCGCGGCCGAGTCTTTCACACCAGCAGCAACGGCGTCGAGTGTGGCAGACGGCTTTGCCAGCTCGGCGGGGGCTGCCGCAGCCAACTCCTTCACACCAGCAGCAAGGGCATCGATTGTGGCAGACGGCTTTGCCAGCTGTGCTGGTGCCGTCACTTCCTCGGCCTTGGTCTCCTCGGCCTTGTCAAGTGCGGCACCCAGAACCTTTGCTGCAGCAGTCGCTGGGTCCACATGGGCCTCCTCTGCCTCCTCCGCCGCCTCCTTGGCCTTAGAAGCAGTGTTGGCAATCTCTTCAAGCTGTTCCATAGGGTCCAAAGTCACCGCCGGCTCTGTTGCTGCAGGTGCCGGAGGTGCCGCGGCCGCCGGAGGTGCTGGAGGCGCCGCGGCTGCCGGAGGTGCCGGAGGCGCCGCAGCCGCCGGAGGCGCAGGGGGCGCTGCAGCCGCCGGAGGCGCAGGGGGCGCTGCAGCCGCCGGAGGCGCAGGGGGCGCCGCAGCAGGTTTCGCTGCGGGCTTTGTCGCTGGCTCCTCCTTGATGAGGCCCAACTCTGTCGCTTTGTCCTCGGCAGACTCGATCTGGTCCTCAATTTCTTTCTTCTCCTCTTCAATCTGCTGCATCTTCTCCTGCTTGGCTTTCTCATCCAAAAACTTCGCAATGTCCACCACCCCCTTGTCGTCATGCCAGAACTTGTTCGTGTAAACATAGAGCATGCCATTGTCGGACGTGGGCTCGCAAGTGCCCAGCATCTCCACCACGCCCTGCTCCTTCATGCCCTTGAAAACAAAGCCATCCTTATTCTTGCCGGTTGGGATCTTGACTCCAGGAACCAGCTCCAGGTAGCTTGGCACCTGCTTCACAAACTTGGAAGTCTTTCCAACGTTCACGGCATTCATGCCATCCAGGCAGTTGCCGATCGGCCCGTAGCCCGCGTACATGAGGTCGCCTGCATTCGAGTTCAGGATTTGCTCCACCACGCTGTAGCCAATCTTGGTGCCTTTGGTCATGCCCACCACGTCAATGGAGCAAACATCGCTGGGCACGCAAAGGGCGGCATAGGCCACGTCCGCGAAATGTTTGTTCTTGAAAGAGTAAGCATAGTTGCACTTTGATTTGGCCACGTCGTCTGCACTTGCCTTAGTGCACATGTTCTTTTGGCCATACTTCGCCAAAATCTGTGCCTCAAAGTCGTCCGCGCTGAACTCATTGAGATTGACGCTGTTGGTGGCATCACCAGCCAAAGAGGCTGCTTCTCCACAGCACTCCAGTATCAGCGTAGTCTCTCCGAAGCCGGAGTTGCTGGCCTGAAGCAAAGATCCATAGCCGCCCAGCTTGCCGCCCATGGTGACCTTGCCCCCGGATCTCACCTCATCTCCAGTTGCTGTTCCAGCAATGAGCTCGTAGGCAGCAGCCGGCACGGCCGCAAAGGCCAACAGAGCCAACGCCATGCCTTTACAAAGCAACAAGTGCAACGCCTTGTGCTTACGCTGTCTTGGGCCAGCCGAAAGAAGTAACAACAATTACCTGCTCAAGCCTCTAACACCGTTCATTCCATCGCAGCGGCAGGTGCAACACTACCCAACAATTATAGCTGCACAAGTAGCCATGGTGTCTGAAAGCAAACGCTCTCACGAAGGACCTTGCTGACGAAGCTAGCAACTACTGTCTCAGCTTCTGATTTTACTAGCACAGTCCCAGCAGTCAAGGCAAACAAACGCGGCAGGGCAGTCGCTGCCTCTGCGGCATTCATTTGGGCCAGTCGTCATTTGATCGGCAGGCCAAAAGAGTCATGTTGGCGGCTTTGCCCAAACTTCTAATTGACAACTTAAATCAACAATGTTAGGCGGCGGGACTCAATGCCCACAGCGGCAGCGGCCTTCTTTGCCACCGCTGGCGACTCCTCAGTCGACGCGACGCCAGTCGCTATGGCATCCTTCAGGGCGGCAGAGTGGTCCTCTGCAGCCTGCTGAATGGCTGCCGCATGCGTCTCGGCAGCCTTCTTCACCGCAGCTGCCTGCTCCTCGGTGGCCTTCGCCACAGTGCCCACGTGCTGCTCTGCCGCCTCTTGTGCTGCCTGGGTCTGCGCAGTCAGCTTGTTGGCAGTTTCCTTGAGAGCTGCCTTGGTCTGCGCAGCAAGCTTGTCAGCAGCTGCCTGGGTCTGCGCAGCCAGCTTGTCGGCAGCCTCCTTGGCATCTGCCGCGGCCTGCTCGGTCTGCTCTTGCAGCTTCTGGGCGGCCTCTTCTGCTGCCTTCTGGGCTGCCTCCTGGCTTGCCGCCAAGTCCGCCGCAGTCTTCTCAGCGGCTGCCTGCAATGGCCGCGGCCGAGTCTTTCACACCAGCAGCAACGGCGTCGAGTGTGGCAGACGGCTTTGCCAGCTCGGCGGGGGCTGCCGCAGCCAACTCCTTCACACCAGCAGCAAGGGCGTCGATTGTGGCAGACGGCTTTGCCAGCTCCGCTGGTGCCGTCACTTCCTCGGCCTTGGTCTCCTCGGCCTTGTCAAGGGCGGCACCCAGAACCTTTGCTGCAGCAGTCGCTGGGTCCACATGGGCCTCCTCTGCCTCCTCCGCCGCCTCCTTGGCCTTAGAAGCAGTGTTGGCAATCTCTTCAAACTTTTCCATAGGGTCCAAAGTCACCGCCGGCTCTGTTGCTGCAGGTGCCGGAGGCGCCGCGGCCGCCGGAGGTGCTGGAGGCGCCGCGGCTGCCGGAGGTGCCGGAGGCGCCGCAGCCGCCGGAGGGGCAGGGGGCGCTGCAGCCGCCGGAGGCGCAGGGGGCCGCAGCAGGTTTCGCTGCGGGCTTTGTCGCTGGCTCCTCCTGGATGAGGCCCAACTCTGTCGCTTTGTCCTCGGCAGACTCGATCTGGTCCTCAATTTCTTTCTTCTCCTCTTCAATCTGCTGCATCTTCTCCTGCTTGGCTTTCTCATCCAAAAACTTCGCAATGTCCACCACCCCCTTGTCGTCATGCCAGAACTTGTTCGTGTAAACATAGAGCATGCCATTGTCGGACGTGGGCTCACAAGTGCCCAGCATCTCCACCACGCCCCTTATTCTTGCCGGTAGGGATCTTGACTCCAGGAACCAGCTCCAGGTAGCTTGGCACCTGCTTCACAAACTTGGAAGTCTTTCCAACGTTCACGGCATTCATGCCATCCAGGCAGTTGCCGATCGGCCCGTAGCCGGCGTACATGAGGTCACCTGCATTCGAGTTCAGGATTTGCTCCACCACGCTGTAGCCAATCTTGGTGCCTTTGGTCATGCCCACCACGTCAATGGAGCAAACATCGCTGGGCACGCAGAGGGCGGCATAGGCCACGTCCGCCCAATTCTTGTTCTTGAAAGAGTAAGCATAGTTGCACCCTACTTCGGCCACAGCATCTGCACTTGCCTTAGTGCACATGTTCTTTTGGCCGTACTTCGCCAAAATCTGTGCCTCAAGGTCGTCCGCGCTGAACTCATTGAGATTGATGCCGTTGGCGGCATCACCAGCCAAAGAGGCTGCTTCTCCACAGCACTCCAGTATCAGCGTAGTCTCTCCGAAGCCGGAGTTGCTGGCCTGAAGCAAAGATCCATAGCCGCCCAGCTTGCCGCCCATGGTCACCTTGCCCCCGGATCTCACCTCATCTCCAGTTGCGGTTCCAGCAACGAACTCGTAGGCAGCAGCCGGCACGGCCGCAAAGGCCAACAGAGCCAACGCCATGCCTTTACAAAGCAACAAGTGCAACGGCTTGTGCTTACGCTGTCTTGGGCCAGCCGAAAGAAGAAACAACAAATACCTGCTCAAGCCTCTAACACCGTTCATTCCATCGCAGCGGCAGGTGCAACACTACCCAACAATTATAGCTGCAAAAGTAGCCATGGTGTCTGAAAGCAAACGCTCTCACGAAGGACCTTGCTGACGAAGCTAGCAACTACTGTCTCAGCTTCTGATTTTACTAGCACAGTCCCAGCAGTCAAGGCAAACAAACGCGGCAGGGCAGTCGCTGCCTCTGCGGCATTCATTTGGGCCAGTCGTCATTTGATCGGCAGGCCAAAAGAGTCATGTTGGCGGCTTTGCCCAAACTTCTAATTGACAACTTAAATCAACAATGTTAGGCGGCGGGACTCAATGCCCACAGCGGCAGCGGCCTTCTTTGCCACCGCTGGCGACTCCTCAGTCGACGCGACGCCAGTCGCTATGGCATCCTTCAGGGCGGCAGAGTGGTCCTCTGCAGCCTGCTGGATGGCTGCCGCATGCGTCTCGGCAGCCTTCTTCACCGCAGCTGCCTGCTCCTCGGTGGCCTTCGCCACAGCGCCCACGTGCTGCTCTGCCGCCTCTTGTGCTGCCTGGGTCTGCGCAGTCAGCTTGTTGGCAGTTTGCTTGAGAGCTGCCTTGGTCTGCGCAGCAAGCTTGTCAGCAGCTGCCTGGGTCTGCGCAGCCAGCTTGTCGGCAGCCTCCTTGGCATCTGCCGCGGCCTGCTCGGTCTGCTCTTGCAGCTTCTGGGCGGCCTCTTCTGCTGCCTTCTGGGCTGCCTCCTGGCTTGCCGCCAAGTCCGCCGCAGTCTTCTCAGCGGCTGCCTGCATGGCCGCGGCCGAGTCTTTCACACCAGCAGAAACGGCGTCGAGTGTGGCAGACGGCTTTGCCAGCTCGGCGGGGGCTGCCGCAGCCAACTCCTTCATACCAGCAGCAAGGGCGTCGATTGTGGCAGACGGCTTTGCCAGCTCCGCTGGTGCCGTCACTTCCTCGGCCTTGGTCTCCTCGGCCTTGTCAAGCGCGGCACCCAGAACCTTTGCTGCAGCAGTCTCTGGGTCCACATGGGTCTCCTCTGCCTCCTCCGCCGCCTCCTTGGCCTTAGAAGCAGTGTTGGCAATCTCTTCAAGCTTCTCCATAGGGTCCAAAGTCACCGCCGGCTCTGTTGCTGCAGGTGCCGGAGGCGCCGCGGCCGCCGGAGGTGCTGGAGGCGCCGCGGCTGCCGGAGGTGCCGGAGGCGCCGCAGCCGCCGGAGGCGCAGGGGGCGCCGCAGCCGGAGGCGCTGGGGGCGCCGCAGCAGGCTTTGTCGCTGGCTTCTCCTTGAGGAGGCCCAACTCTGTCGCTTTGTCCTCGGCAGACTCAATCTGGTCCTCGACTTTTGCCTTCTCCTCTTCAATTTGCTGCATCTTCTCCTGCTCTGCTTTCTCATCCAAAAAGCCCGCAATGTTCACTAGCCCCGTGTCAGCATCCCAGAACTTGTTCTTGTAAACATAGAGCATGCCATTGTCGGACGTGGGCTCGCAAGTGCCCAACATCTGCACCAGGCCTTGCTCCTTCATGCCCTCGAAGACAATGCCATCCTTATTCTTGCCGGTAGGGATCTTGATGCCAGGAACCAGCTCCACGTAGCTTGGCACCTGCTTCACAAACTTGGAAGTCTTTCCAACGTTCACGGCATTCATGCCATCCAGGCAGTTGCCGATCGGCCCGTAGCCGGCGTACATGAGGTCACCTGCATTCGAGTTCAGGATTTGCTCCACCACGCTGTAGCCAATCTTGGTGCCTTTGGTCATGCCCACCACGTCAATGGAGCAAACATCGCTGGGCACGCAGAGGGCGGCATAGGCCACGTCCGCCCAATTCTTGTTCTTGAAAGAGTAAGCATAGTTGCACCCTACTTCGGCCACAGCATCTGCACTTGCCTTAGTGCACATGTTCTTTTGGCCGTACTTCGCCAAAATCTGTGCCTCAAGGTCGTCCGCGCTGAACTCATTGAGATTGATGCCGTTGGCGGCATCACCAGCCAAAGAGGCTGCTTCTCCACAGCACTCCAGTATCAGCGTAGTCTCTCCGAAGCCGGAGTTGCTGGCCTGAAGCAAAGATCCATAGCCGCCCAGCTTGCCGCCCATGGTCACCTTGCCCCCGGATCTCACCTCATCTCCAGTTGCGGTTCCAGCAACGAACTCGTAGGCAGCAGCCGGCACGGCCGCAAGGGCCAACAAAGCTAACGCCATGCCTTTACAAAGAAACAAAGTGCAACAGCTTGCGCTTGCGCTGTCTTGGGCCAGCCGAAGAAGAACAACAAATACCTGCTCAAGCCTCTAACACCATTCATTCCATCGCAGCGGCAGGTGCAACACTACCCAACAATTATAGCTGCAAAAGTAGCCATGGTGTCTGAAAGCAAACGCTCTCACGAAGGACCTTGCTGACGAAGCTAGCAACTACTGTCTCAGCTTCTGATTTTACTAGCACAGTCCCAGCAGTCAAGGCAAACAAACGCGGCAGGGCAGTCGCTGCCTCTGCGGCATTCATTTGGGCCAGTCGTCATTTGATCGGCAGGCCAAAAGAGTCATGTTGGCGGCTTTGCCCAAACTTCTAATTGACAACTTAAATCAACAATGTTAGGCGGCGGGACTCAATGCCCACAGCGGCAGCGGCCTTCTTTGCCACCGCTGGCGACTCCTCAGTCGACGCGACGCCAGTCGCTATGGCATCCTTCAGGGCGGCAGAGTGGTCCTCTGCAGCCTGCTGGATGGCTGCCGCATGCGTCTCGGCAGCCTTCTTCACCGCAGCTGCCTGCTCCTCGGTGGCCTTCGCCACAGCGCCCACGTGCTGCTCTGCCGCCTCTTGTGCTGCCTGGGTCTGCGCAGTCAGCTTGTTGGCAGTTTCCTTGAGAGCTGCCTTGGTCTGCGCAGCAAGCTTGTCAGCAGCTGCCTGGGTCTGCGCCAGCTTGTCGGCAGCCTCCTTGGCATCTGCCGCGGCCTGCTCGGTCTGCTCTTGCAGCTTCTGGGCGGCCTCTTCTGCTGCCTTCTGGGCTGCCTCCTGGCTTGCCGCCAAGTCCGCCGCAGTCTTCTCAGCGGCTGCCTGCATGGCCGCGGCCGAGTCTTTCACACCAGCAGCAACGGCGTCGAGTGTGGCAGACGGCTTTGCCAGCTCGGCGGGGGCTGCCGCAGCCAACTCCTTCACACCAGCAGCAAGGGCGTCGATTGTGGCAGACGGCTTTGCCAGCTCCGCTGGTGCCGTCACTTCCTCGGCCTTGGTCTCCTCGGCCTTGTCAAGCGCGGCACCCAGAACCTTTGCTGCAGCAGTCTCTGGGTCCACATGGGTCTCCTCTGCCTCCTCCGCCGCCTCCTTGGCCTTAGAAGCAGTGTTGGCAATCTCTTCAAGCTTTTCCATAGGGTCCAAAGTCACCGCCGGCTCTGTTGCTGCAGGTGCCGGAGGCGCCGCGGCCGCCGGAGGTGCTGGAGGCGCCGCGGCTGCCGGAGGTGCCGGAGGCGCCGCAGCCGCCGGAGGCGCAGGGGGCGCCGCAGCCGCCGGAGGCGCTGGGGGCGCCGCAGCAGGCTTTGTCGCTGGCTTCTCCTTGAGGAGGCCCAACTCTGTCGCTTTGTCCTCGGCAGACTCAATCTGGTCCTCGACTTTTGCCTTCTCCTCTTCAATTTGCTGCATCTTCTCCTGCTCTGCTTTCTCATCCAAAAAGCCCGCAATGTTCACTAGCCCCGTGTCAGCATCCCAAAACTTGTTCTTGTAAACATAGAGCATGCCATTGTCGGCCGTGGGCTCGCAAGTGCCCAACATCTGCACCAGGCCTTGCTCCTTCATGCCCTCGAAGACAATGCCATCCTTATTCTTGCCGGTAGGGATCTTGATGCCAGGAACCAGCTCCACGTAGCTTGGCACCTGCTTCACAAACTTGGAAGTCTTTCCAACGTTCACGGCATTCATGCCATCCAGGCAGTTGCCGATCGGCCCGTAGCCCGCGTACATGAGGTCACCTGCATTCGAGTTCAGGATTTGCTCCACCACGCTGTAGCCAATCTTGGTGCCTTTGGTCATGCCCACCACGTCAATGGAGCAAACATCGCTGGGCACGCAGAGGGCGGCATAGGCCACGTCCGCCCAATTCTTGTTCTTGAAAGAGTAAGCATAGTTGCACCCTACTTCGGCCACAGCATCTGCACTTGCCTTAGTGCACATGTTCTTTTGGCCGTACTTCGCCAAAATCTGTGCCTCAAGGTCGTCCGCGCTGAACTCATTGAGATTGATGCCGTTGGCGGCATCACCAGCCAAAGAGGCTGCTTCTCCACAGCACTCCAGTATCAGCGTAGTCTCTCCGAAGCCGGAGTTGCTGGCCTGAAGCAAAGATCCATAGCCGCCCAGCTTGCCGCCCATGGTCACCTTGCCCCCGGATCTCACCTCATCTCCAGTTGCGGTTCCAGCAACGAACTCGTAGGCAGCAGCCGGCACGGCCGCAAGGGCCAACAAAGCTAACGCCATGCCTTTACAAAGAAACAAAGTGCAACAGCTTGCGCTTGCGCTGTCTTGGGCCAGCCGAAGAAGAACAACAAATACCTGCTCAAGCCTCTAACACCATTCATTCCATCGCAGCGGCAGGTGCAACACTACCCAACAATTATAGCTGCAAAAGTAGCCATGGTGTCTGAAAGCAAACGCTCTCACGAAGGACCTTGCTGACGAAGCTAGCAACTACTGTCTCAGCTTCTGATTTTACTAGCACAGTCCCAGCAGTCAAGGCAAACAAACGCGGCAGGGCAGTCGCTGCCTCTGCGGCATTCATTTGGGCCAGTCGTCATTTGATCGGCAGGCCAAAAGAGTCATGTTGGCGGCTTTGCCCAAACTTCTAATTGACAACTTAAATCAACAATGTTAGGCGGCGGGACTCAATGCCCACAGCGGCAGCGGCCTTCTTTGCCACCGCTGGCGACTCCTCAGTCGACGCGACGCCAGTCGCTATGGCATCCTTCAGGGCGGCAGAGTGGTCCTCTGCAGCCTGCTGGATGGCTGCTGCATGCGTCTCGGCAGCCTTCTTCACCGCAGCTGCCTGCTCCTCGGTGGCCTTCGCCACAGCGCCCACGTGCTGCTCTGTCGCCTCTTGTGCTGCCTGGGTCTGCGCAGTCAGCTTGTTGGCAGTTTCCTTGAGAGCTGCCTTGGTCTGCGCAGCAAGCTTGTCAGCAGCTGCCTGGGTCTGCGCAGCCAGCTTGTCGGCAGCCTCCTTGGCATCTGCCGCGGCCTGCTCGGTCTGCTCTTGCAGCTTCTGGGCGGCCTCTTCTGCTGCCTTCTGGGCTGCCTCCTGGCTTGCCGCCAAGTCCGCCGCAGTCTTCTCAGCGGCTGCCTGCATGGCCGCGGCCGAGTCTTTCACACCAGCAGCAACGGCGTCGAGTGTGGCAGACGGCTTTGCCAGCTCGGCGGGGGCTGCCGCAGCCAACTCCTTCACACCAGCAGCAAGGGCATCGATTGTGGCAGACGGCTTTGCCAGCTGTGCTGGTGCCGTCACTTCCTCGGCCTTGGTCTCCTCGGCCTTGTCAAGTGCGGCACCCAGAACCTTTGCTGCAGCAGTCGCTGGGTCCACATGGGCCTCCTCTGCCTCCTCCGCCGCCTCCTTGGCCTTAGAAGCAGTGTTGGCAATCTCTTCAAGCTTTTCCATAGGGTCCAAAGTCACCGCCGGCTCTGTTGCTGCAGGTGCCGGAGGTGCCGCGGCCGCCGGAGGTGCTGGAGGCGCCGCGGCTGCCGGAGGTGCCGGAGGCGCCGCAGCCGCCGGAGGCGCAGGGGGCGCTGCAGCCGCCGGAGGCGCAGGGGGCGCTGCAGCCGCCGGAGGCGCAGGGGGCGCCGCAGCAGGTTTCGCTGCGGGCTTTGTCGCTGGCTCCTCCTTGATGAGGCCCAACTCTGTCGCTTTGTCCTCGGCAGACTCGATCTGGTCCTCAATTTCTTTCTTCTCCTCTTCAATCTGCTGCATCTTCTCCTGCTTGGCTTTCTCATCCAAAAACTTCGCAATGTCCACCACCCCCTTGTCGTCATGCCAGAACTTGTTCGTGTAAACATAGAGCATGCCATTGTCGGACGTGGGCTCGCAAGTGCCCAGCATCTCCACCACGCCCTGCTCCTTCATGCCCTTGAAAACAAAGCCATCCTTATTCTTGCCGGTTGGGATCTTGACTCCAGGAACCAGCTCCAGGTAGCTTGGCACCTGCTTCACAAACTTGGAAGTCTTTCCAACGTTCACGGCATTCATGCCATCCAGGCAGTTGCCGATCGGCCCGTAGCCCGCGTACATGAGGTCGCCTGCATTCGAGTTCAGGATTTGCTCCACCACGCTGTAGCCAATCTTGGTGCCTTTGGTCATGCCCACCACGTCAATGGAGCAAACATCGCTGGGCACGCAAAGGGCGGCATAGGCCACGTCCGCCCAATTCTTGTTCTTGAAAGAGTAAGCATAGTTGCACTTTGATTTGGCCACGTCGTCTGCACTTGCCTTAGTGCACATGTTCTTTTGGCCATACTTCGCCAAAATCTGTGCCTCAAAGTCGTCCGCGCTGAACTCATTGAGATTGACGCTGTTGGTGGCATCACCAGCCAAAGAGGCTGCTTCTCCACAGCACTCCAGTATCAGCGTAGTCTCTCCGAAGCCGGAGTTGCTGGCCTGAAGCAAAGATCCATAGCCGCCCAGCTTGCCGCCCATGGTGACCTTGCCCCCGGATCTCACCTCATCTCCAGTTGCTGTTCCAGCAATGAGCTCGTAGGCAGCAGCCGGCACGGCCGCAAAGGCCAACAGAGCCAACGCCATGCCTTTACAAAGCAACAAGTGCAACGGCTTGTGCTTACGCTGTCTTGGGCCAGCCGAAAGAAGTAACAACAATTACCTGCTCAAGCCTCTAACACCGTTCATTCCATCGCAGCGGCAGGTGCAACACTACCCAACAATTATAGCTGCACAAGTAGCCATGGTGTCTGAAAGCAAACGCTCTCACGAAGGACCTTGCTGACGAAGCTAGCAACTACTGTCTCAGCTTCTGATTTTACTAGCACAGTCCCAGCAGTCAAGGCAAACAAACGCGGCAGGGCAGTCGCTGCCTCTGCGGCATTCATTTGGGCCAGTCGTCATTTGATCGGCAGGCCAAAAGAGTCATGTTGGCGGCTTTGCCCAAACTTCTAATTGACAACTTAAATCAACAATGTTAGGCGGCGGGACTCAATGCCCACAGCGGCAGCGGCCTTCTTTGCCACCGCTGGCGACTCCTCAGTCGACGCGACGCCAGTCGCTATGGCATCCTTCAGGGCGGCAGAGTGGTCCTCTGCAGCCTGCTGAATGGCTGCCGCATGCGTCTCGGCAGCCTTCTTCACCGCAGCTGCCTGCTCCTCGGTGGCCTTCGCCACAGTGCCCACGTGCTGCTCTGCCGCCTCTTGTGCTGCCTGGGTCTGCGCAGTCAGCTTGTTGGCAGTTTCCTTGAGAGCTGCCTTGGTCTGCGCAGCAAGCTTGTCAGCAGCTGCCTGGGTCTGCGCAGCCAGCTTGTCGGCAGCCTCCTTGGCATCTGCCGCGGCCTGCTCGGTCTGCTCTTGCAGCTTCTGGGCGGCCTCTTCTGCTGCCTTCTGGGCTGCCTCCTGGCTTGCCGCCAAGTCCGCCGCAGTCTTCTCAGCGGCTGCCTGCAATGGCCGCGGCCGAGTCTTTCACACCAGCAGCAACGGCGTCGAGTGTGGCAGACGGCTTTGCCAGCTCGGCGGGGGCTGCCGCAGCCAACTCCTTCACACCAGCAGCAAGGGCGTCGATTGTGGCAGACGGCTTTGCCAGCTCCGCTGGTGCCGTCACTTCCTCGGCCTTGGTCTCCTCGGCCTTGTCAAGTGCGGCACCCAGAACCTTTGCTGCAGCAGTCGCTGGGTCCACATGGGCCTCCTCTGCCTCCTCCGCCGCCTCCTTGGCCAAAGAAGCAGTGTTGGCAATCTCTTCAAACTTTTCCATAGGGTCCAAAGTCACCGCCGGCTCTGTTGCTGCAGGTGCCGGAGGCGCCGCGGCCGCCGGAGGTGCTGGAGGCGCCGCGGCTGCCGGAGGTGCCGGAGGCGCCGCAGCCGCCGGAGGCGCAGGGGGCGCTGCAGCCGCCGGAGGCGCAGGGGGCCGCAGCAGGTTTCGCTGCGGGCTTTGTCGCTGGCTCCTCCTGGATGAGGCCCAACTCTGTCGCTTTGTCCTCGGCAGACTCGATCTGGTCCTCAATTTCTTTCTTCTCCTCTTCAATCTGCTGCATCTTCTCCTGCTTGGCTTTCTCATCCAAAAACTTCGCAATGTCCACCACCCCCTTGTCGTCATGCCAGAACTTGTTCGTGTAAACATAGAGCATGCCATTGTCGGACGTGGGCTCACAAGTGCCCAGCATCTCCACCACGCCCCTTATTCTTGCCGGTAGGGATCTTGACTCCAGGAACCAGCTCCAGGTAGCTTGGCACCTGCTTCACAAACTTGGAAGTCTTTCCAACGTTCACGGCATTCATGCCATCCAGGCAGTTGCCGATCGGCCCGTAGCCCGCGTACATGAGGTCACCTGCATTCGAGTTCAGGATTTGCTCCACCACGCTGTAGCCAATCTTGGTGCCTTTGGTCATGCCCACCACGTCAATGGAGCAAACATCGCTGGGCACGCAAAGGGCGGCATAGGCCACGTCCGCGAAATGTTTGTTCTTGAAAGAGTAAGCATAGTTGCACTTTGATTTGGCCACGTCGTCTGCACTTGCCTTAGTGCACATGTTCTTTTGGCCATACTTCGCCAAAATCTGTGCCTCAAAGTCGTCCGCGCTGAACTCATTGAGATTGACGCTGTTGGTGGCATCACCAGCCAAAGAGGCTGCTTCTCCACAGCACTCCAGTATCAGCGTAGTCTCTCCGAAGCCGGAGTTGCTGGCCTGAAGCAAAGATCCATAGCCGCCCAGCTTGCCGCCCATGGTCACCTTGCCCCCGGATCTCACCTCATCTCCAGTTGCTGTTCCAGCAATGAGCTCGTAGGCAGCAGCCGGCACGGCCGCAAAGGCCAACAGAGCCAACGCCATGCCTTTACAAAGCAACAAGTGCAACGGCTTGTGCTTACGCTGTCTTGGGCCAGCCGAGAGAAGTAACAACAATTACCTGCTCAAGCCTCGTTCATTCCATCGCAGCGGTAGGCATGAGACGACGTGACTCGAGGCAGTGCATTTGTGGCAATGCGACGACGTTTGCGTCAGGGGTCTGAGATGAGGCTGGCAGCTCTCAGTAATTCTCAGTACATAAATGTCGGCACCTGGAGCCGCATTGGTTCCTCGAAGCCGCCAAGACTCATCGATGGACGAAACGAAAGGCACTCCGCTGAATATGAAAGTTTTGCTTTTGGACTTCCTATCCAAAAGACCCATGTCCAGGATATCCCCAAATGTTGGTTGCTTCCCTTGAAATGCCAAATTTCGCTAAGAGTCTACCCTCACCTGAAAAGCTTCGCCCTGCGGAGACTTCCGTGTCCCCGGGACGAAGGTCAGGTGACCACCAAAGGTGCCCCGCATAGAAGCGTTGCGACCTGAACCTGAGCAGCGCCCTTTGAATGCTCGATCTGGCAAGAGTTGACCCCAGGTGCATTTTGGGGGGTGTTCAACCCGTGACTCATGAGAGAGCTATTTGGGATTGTTGATGGGTCCCAAACAAAACAAAATGGCAGGCGCATGCTTGTCCTTGTCCCTGCATGATCTGCATGTCTCCTGTCCTTCTCCACATGACTCCGTATGTCTCGTGCTTTCGCCAAGTCTCAGCTTTGATACCGGAAGAGGCCATCCACTCTTCCATGGCCTTCATACTGTCCATGGGGGTCGCTCTCCCGATTCTTCAGCCAGCCGCCCTCCACGAGAATGGGAAACAGGCCGATCCTCAGACTTCGGGAAGCCCCACTGGCAGCCTTCAAGTGCTCCTTTTGTCTCCCTTTGGTTTTTTTGGGAAGTTGCACTCTTGTTTCAACTTTAAAAGTGGAAGACAAATATTACCCATTTCTACAATAACTTAAAGTGTTCAAAAGGATACTAAACGCCATGTGTACTTAGTGTAGAAAGAAGCCAAAGAGTCCACCCATCAACACGAACCCAGCCATAAGTACTGTTGTTGAAAGTTTTTCAAGACAACCAATGGAAGCCACCCATTTGCAAGAGGTTTAAGAGGTTTGAGGTTTGTGAAGACAACTAAACTGACCCCGGAATGTGTAAAGAGGATACCAAAAGGAAACCGCCCATTGGGTCGTTTCCTAAGATTTTGCTTGGTGGCACGCCATCACCGTGCGTACGCTCGCACTCCTTGCCGTCCTCCTGGATCTCCCAGTGCCTGGAAAGCAGCCTCGCGAGAGATTCCACTCGCGTAGGGGGGGAACTCCAATGGGTGTCTTCTTTGAGTTGGTACCCCTTCTTTGTGTCTTTACCCCTGTTGGTTCAATAGAAGCCAACAGGAACAGTGCCATTTGGGTGTGTCTTTTGTTACAGGACCCCTAAAAAATTGTGCTTTCCTATTACTTTTGATTTCTCCAAGCCCCAAACCAAGAGAACACCCCTGTAAAACTGGGTGTTCACGCTCCACCCGTCCCCCCACCTCCCCAAAAATAAAAGGAAAGGAAAAGAAGAGCCGTGGTCAAAATATGCATTTCCCATGCCGTTTGGGGTGCCCCAACGTCCCTCCCAAACTAGAATAAGCTACACAATTCATAATAAGAACATCAGTCAGTAGATTACTTAGTGGACTGAACACTCTACAAGACAAACCTGTTGCGTGTTGAACCCAACAATGAAAACCGAAAACCTGTGCAGACGGGGTGCTGGCAGCTGTCAAAGCCTCTCTCTTCAAAGGTGCCCACCAGACGAAGGGCAATGGAGTATGTCCAACCTGCTTCAAAGACCCAAGCTGTTCCTCCAAAATGAATGTACGTGGGTTCTGCAAACAGCCATATCCCCAGAAATCCAGCAGGAATCGGTTTTCGAAGCTTGTTTGCACCGTTTCGTCTGGCCTGCTTGATGCTCCGGCATGTAGATGCAGCTGGCTTGGACTTCCACACCACGGGTAGTACAAACCTTGGGATCCGAGCCACCAATGACCAAGCCACCCAATGGGTCCAACGTTGAGGGTGCTTCACTGCTGCACATGTTGAAAAGTGGCAACCCTTGTTTGACACAGGAAAACCCTGCATGTGAATCGTGCCGAAGATCCTTGAGCTCTGGCGCAGTCTTCGGGAAGAGGGAGATGCCGCACAGCAAAGGGTGTGCCTGAGGTTCGTGGCAGGCGGTCTTTTCTGGGGGTCCTAAAGATAAACTGGTCGGAAGACGTGTTGGAATCTCCAGAAGAAAAAGAAAACGGTGTGTTTTTGACGGTACCTCTTTGGGGTAGGTTTAAACGGAACGAAAAATCACCATTTTGGGGGGGTCCAATTCCATTTTTTGGCGCAGACCCACGCCCACGCTTCACTCAAATCTTCCGTTGCCTCTGGTCTCAAGCAGTCCATAGTGTAGAAGGTCGAGTGAAGTCGCTGCGCATACTCCTCGAACCACCTCTCGAGATTCTCGTGCACGAGGTATCTCTAAAGAGATCAACGAGCAACCCAAATGGTGTGGCAAGTAGTCCACAAACAACTGTGGAAGACAAGAAGCTCACACCACTTCGGACACGCTTCATACGGCTGAGACCACACAACTTTATGACAGCATAGTTTGCCGAATCTAGCTTCACCTGAGCTGAAGCTGACTCAATACCAATAAGTGCTGTTGCAAATGGCCCTTGTCAGGAGACGTTTGCTCCATGTAGGCTTCGTGCAGCTCCAGTGTGTGTGTGTGTGCCTCAATGAGCATGTCTATCCCAGAATCAATTCAATTTTTGGGCTACTATCTAACTGGCCGCATGGCTGCATATGCGCTATTTTGAAACAGATAGATTAACATACACCCCTGCAGGAAGGAGAAGCCGCAAAGCAAGGAAGAAAGAATGCAAGAAATCCGCTGACCCCTCGCCAAAGAGGGGAGGAACACGGGGAGAGTGGCTGGCACACAAGCATGTCCGAAGGTTCATCATCATCAGCATCATGACCATCATCATGATCATCATCACGGTGATCATCAAACTAGGTTGATCCTTCATTACCATCCATCATCATCATGGTGCTCATCATCTTCGCCCTTGTCTTTTTGATATACGTTTCAATTGTGCCATTGGACCCGGCTTGGAATGCAAAGCGGTTCAAGTGTGCCATTAGACCCGACTTGAGATGCAAAGGGTGCGTAGTCATGAATTTTCATCATGACTGATGGTCATCATGGCTGTCATCATCACCATCATCATCCCTGATGTTGGGGATGAGTAGAGATGACCATCATCCCGGTCATCATCCTCATTATCCTCCATCTTCATCATCACATGGCACTCATCATCATCATCGTCCTTATCTTTTTGACAAACGGTTCGACCATTAGACCCGATTTCAGATGCGAAGGATGCGTAGTCATGAGCTATCATCAGCATCATCATCATCATGGTGGTCATTCATCGTCGTTCTTATCTTCTTGACACTAAACGTTTCAAATGCACCGTTAGATGCAAAGGATGCGAAAGCATGACTGCTGGTGATGCTGCGGACGCATGGTGATGATTGTCATCGTGGCTGTCCTCATCATCCACATCACATCCTCATTATCATCCATCATCATCATCATCATCATCATCATCATCATCATCATCATCATCATATCATCACCATCATCGTTGTCATCTGGGCTGGCGGGTCCGCGGGACTGCTGCCGAGTAGGTGGGTTCAAAGAGAGGGTCCGGTGTTCAGATAGAATCATTCTCCACTTCAGCCATCTGCGTTTGGCAGCATTGCGGCTTTGCCTTCCGACTGACGGTTGCTGCCGACCCCTCGCATCATCTGCACGCCGAGCGCCTTTTGTGCATCATCACCGCCCGCGCAGCCATTGGAGCTCGAGTTGGGGGAAGGCTCAAAACACTGCAACTATGCAGCAACCCGGCTACATTGCCAGCATCGCCGGCTCTTTCGGAACCCCCTGCTGTTTCGCGCATCGCCTGCAGCCCTTGCATCGCCCGAGCAAGACTTTCCTGACGACGCGCGCGCGCGCGCTCACTTGCGCAACGTGCGGGCCGCACGCACGCAACGAACCAACGATCCATCCATCCATCCATCCATCCGTCCGTCCATCCATCCAGCCACCCATCCACCGACCCAGCCATCAAGCGCATCAAGCCATCCATCCATCCGTCCATCCATCCATGCATCTATCCGTCCGTCCGTCATCCATCCACCCATCCCTCCGGCCATCGACCATCCCTCGACCCATCCATCCATCCATCCGTCCGTCCGTCCGTCCATCCGTCCAGCCATCCAGCCAGCCATCCATCCATCGCCCATCCATCCATCCAGCCACCATCCATCCATCCAACCATCCAGCCATGCACCATCCATCGCGCACGGCTCGGTTGTTTGCAAAGGACTTTCACTGGCACGCCGCGAGGCCAGTGCGCGGAGCGTGAAAATGAAGAAAGAATGGGGAAGACAAGAATAGATTAGTGCAAAGTAACCGAGAGGGGGAGAGAGGGAAAGAGAAAAACAAGAACGGAAGAAGTTCGTGCTTTATGAGAAGATCTTTCCCTGCCTCAGCAAACCATCTCCAGGCTTCCCACGGGGGATGGCGAGTTCTAGTGGACTTCTGGGGTTGCGTGTAAAGATGTAAACCAGGCCGTCCGACCTCAGCACCAAGGTACTCGCGCCCAGAATGTCTTAAAAGTATGCGGAAAGGAACAAAAACAAAGGTTTTGTAGGCACTGTGATTGCGTCCGGGGACAGGTCCACGAAAAAGACTTTCGTCACGTTGTAGGATGCTGCGAAGATCAACTTGCCTTGCAAGACCTCCTGCCACGACCAAAAACGGAAACCTGCAACTCTCTGACTCTGCGACTCGGCTCGCTCCTTGAGTTCTGGCACCCGTGCCTGCAAAATGTTGCAGAAGTGCTCCGTGATGCTCAGAGCCTTGGAGAAACACAGAAATGATCAAACCCACATTTTTTGCTGGAGGCCTAGTCACAACTTGGACCTGCTAAATTCAACCTGGGCCAAAGCGCCGTCTACCCAGAGATTCAACAATGTTCTCTCTGCAAGGCACTGCCACGAGGGGGAGAAACACCGTGCACACCTCATGCTCGTAGGCCTGGTAGCCCCCAAACAGGCCCAGAGACCACTCGTCGCCTGCAGTTGCCAGAGCAAAGGAACCAGAGAATGACGAATGGCTGAGCGAGGAACTCTGTCTCCAAGCGGCCATCTGTCATTGCACGCATGCTGCGCGTCATATGTGCAACCTGCCAAGTCAAGCCAAAATCTATAAATCAAATCATCAAAAATCTCAAGCCTGTGGATCCAGCGGCGCATCCTGGCCGTCAACCAGGCGCCAGCAGTCCATCACCTAGCGGTGAAAAACATGGCCCTTTCGAGCAAAGCGCTCGTCAAGCCTGCGGCACTGCCCCCATCTGCTCCAGCGGAGATAAGTCTTTGGCCTGCACCGGCTCCCCAAAACAGAGACAAGTGCACGAGGTTTGGGAGAGGTTTGGGTGTGTTTTTGTTGAGGGTACCCTCTGTGGGTGCGGTGTTGAAAGGAAAGCGAAGGAACAGCCCCCATCTCAGGGGGGATGCATTCCATTCCAACGTCAGATTGACCCTAGACTCCAGCGCCTCACTCCGCAAGCTGTCGTGAATTCTCTCAGCACCAGGGGTCGACGACAGCCAGCTGCGGATCCTGAAACGTCTAATCAGTTTTCTTCATGCCGCCTCTCCCCTCGGCACACCGAATTTACCCCCTGCACGGTGACTACGGTGTGGTCCGTGCATTGTTGTGGGTCCCACTTCGACGCTGGCATTCTCAGCCAAAATGATTGCAGCCCTTGTCGCAGCAAACTCAGCAAACCCTTGTTTCACTCAGTGCCTGATACACATCACAGGACAACTCCGCCTGGCACTCAGCCAGCGATGGCCAACTGACGCACGTTACACCAAAATGAAAGGAACCACTGAACATGGTGCGCATGTTTGGCGTGCTCCGGTTGAGAAATGCACTTGTCTGAGCATTGCAAGCAAACTGGTGAGACCAAGGGGATTCTACATGCGTTGGCGAATCCTGACAGTGCTTAACCACTACATCATGACTGCCACAGGATCACCCAGTCTGCCGTAGGCCTTGCTGCACTAGGTGCAAGGAGCCATGTCGCTGCAGGCCATGCTTGTCAGCTGTGCACCGCTTCCATGTATGCTGTGTATGCTGTGTACTCAGGTCGTGAAAAGTGGCCGGGCACATTCTTGCGCATTCTTGAAAGACTGGTATCTGGTTCAACCAAATGGCCGGAAGAAACAACACCCTGAGGAGATGGTGGGAGGAGGAGTAGCTGGGCCCCAGAATCGTTCGTTCCAACATCTGGATGTGCGAACCTCGGGAAATGTCAAGACCGGCGCCGTGGTTTGCTTTTCATCGACTCACATTCGGACAAAAAAAAGAAAAAGCGCGGCTCCTGCGCCACACGGCCATCCACCGAACATGAGGCAGCGCCAGCTGGCCGCTGCGCACCGCAGCAGAACCCATAGAGGTGCTCAGCTGTAAGAGCACCTGCTTTGATATGCCGATGCCGATCTGAAAGCCCTCCCTTCTTTGACCTTTACTTGCGTCTTTTTGTTTGTGTGCTCCCTTTGTTGCAGTTGTTTTGGTCATGCCATTAGATCTCGAGTTTGATCTGCCTACCCCATCCAAGGCAGGTACCAGGTCCAGCCGGAGGCAAGCAGGCAGGCCGAAACAAACGCAGCAAGGCAAGGGTGGCATGGCACCAGCCGTTGGGTTTGCCGTGAGGCCGTGACGGTGCTGTGCGGTTTTGCGCCAGTGCCAGTTTCACTTGGGCCACTTCCACTTGACGTTGAGGCGAGCCAGCAGCCGGCTGAGCCAGTCGGAGCTAGTCGTGCCGAGCCCGACAAGTTGAGCCAGAGCCAGAGCCAAGATGAGCCAAGCAGGGTCCAGAAAGTCTGGGCTACTAAGTACGACGTGCGGCATGAGTGCCATCTTGACTCTTGCCATGGAGCGGTTGCCAGGGAACAAATAGCTCAAATTGGCAAGGTCCTGTGTCTTCATTTTCGGGCGATGCGACAAGTTGCAACGCAATCGACTTGACCCCATGCCTTGTGCCAGCTCCTAAAGAGCTTGTGCCAGGAAGAGACAGAGCCGTCTGGGCCCTGCAACTCCGACAGACCGAAGACCCGCCTGGCCAGGGACTGGCTCAGCCCGTCGAAGCTTATTTGGCTATGCCTTTTTTGTTGGGACCAGAATAGATGCGTTATAAAACCGCCCAAAAGGGGTACCATCAAAAAGACACCTTTCTGTGAACACGGCAAGTGCTTCAACTTGGGAACTGGGCCCGGAATATGGAGGTGCTGGGGGTTCGGTTCTTGTCGAGTCTTGACAGGGGAACGGGGACCATGGTGACATTGCCCACTGCCCATGTAGAATTCCTCCATCCTCCACCCGAGTCCACATTGTTCCACCATCATTGGGAGTATTTTCATGATTTTAAAGGGGGAACCAAAAGGAAAAACCACACGTTTTGGGGCTCCAAACCCTAAAAAGAAGACACGCAAACACTTCGCTCCTGGAGTGATGCTCCCAGTAGGTCTCCGCCAGCGTTGAAAAGATCTCGTTCCGGGCAATGGGCCAAAAGCACTTGGCATCGATCGGGGCCAGGTGCTGCAGGATCTGCACCAGGTGGTGCCTTTTCGGTCGAAAAGCCGAAATCGCCGGGACTTTTTCTTTGGGTTCTATGGGAAAAAAACATGTAGGGGGCGTAATATGTCAGAACAAGTTTGTCTTCAAATTCGGGACCGCCCCCCAAACACACAAAAAACATGTGCATGGGGTTCCTTTTGGTTTCCCCTTTTAGGCCAACCTGAAAAGAGTACCCAAAAAGCACACACCCTCTGGACTTTGAGTGGCTTCGACAATGTCCATGGACAAGTAAGCACGGATCAATGATGGGAATCCATTGATCGAGTCGAGACCGTGGGACCATGTCCAAATCGTCCAAGATGCTCGTTGAGAGTTCCCAAGCCAGACATGGCGACCAAAACTAAGAGAACAAGAAGAAGAAATACAGAAACTGTGCACCACAGAGCAATCTCCGCATTTTCAGCTGGTCGAGCTAGCTCAGGCGCCAAATGAGTCGCTGTCTGCACGGCTTAGTCTTTTCGGATGGGTTTGTTTCGACAAGGCTCCGTTTTATCTGCGAAGCATAGTTTCCACTAGTTTCCTCCAGTTGAGCCAGCATCCTGCAACTGCAGCTCCAGGCAGATTTCATCGGTGCCGGCCGCGGCAAAAAGCTTGCGACACGCGACTTGTAACACCCCGCATGTCTCGCTCGCTCGACGTCTCTGGCCTTTTCGAGTCAAAAAAAGACGGACAGCTTCGCCGTCAGCTCGAAAGTGCCAGATGCTAGAAGGCTTCGCCCAAAAACAGCAAACTTGCCTGTGAAACTGTCCAATGCTTAACCATTCTGCCTTTAGGCAGAGGACAAACCAGGCATATGCCACACTGCCAACAGGCACACGAACTCACAGGCAACAGACCTGGCTTGGAGCCATAGCTGTCGCTTTGCCGTTGCCACACACTCTGAATTGTTGTCCCGAACCTTTCCCGCACAGGCTTGACATGCAAATCGCAACCCTGGTGACTCAATAACATGGGTCAATTCCAGCTGCATCTCTCCAAATGGCAGGTAGCTCATTTTGGTTTCGTGTCCGTAAAGCAAGTCGACCCCAATGTGGATTCCAGTGGATGGGACTTGATTTGACTCTTCGCACATCCTTGAGCGCGCCTCGCTTTATTTCTTCGCCTGCACAACCGAGGAGGGGGCGTGCACCATGGTGGAACTCGGGGTCACTCACCAAAAAACACAGGGCCACGTGCCTGCACCATGCCCCCCAGAAGTGCTGCGGCGGACGAAGACGTGTTCAAACCAGTGACCACCTCGGACGACAGGCTCTGTTTGCTCGATTTGCACATGGTGTCATGATGTGTCCTGGGTTTTCCTGCAACAGGCGTAGGGAGCTGGCTGTCTTTGACTCGCCGGGTCGTGCCTTGGGCTTGGCCTGGGTGAGTTGGGTGCGGACACTTGCGAGGCCGCCACGCTGAGGAGCCCCACACTCGCAGCCTGACACACTCCGACACTCGGAGTCAGTCACTGCACCTTGTTTTCAGAACTTTCCGACCCGCTCCACTGTTCGCATGCGAAGCCGCTTCGCATTTCTCGTGCAAGTGGGCCGCTTTGGGCCTGGCACTGCGCCCATCCGTGCGCTCAGCGCTCTGCGGGCACTGCCCATCCTGGCCTATGAGCCCTCGCCTCGTGGCACCGCGTGCACACTGCGCCTGAAGGCGAGCACAAGCGTGGCATATCGTGGCATAGCCACTCAGCTGGAGGTCAAGAGATGTCAAGAGTCACTCGGTGGCTGGGCCACCTGCTCTTTCACCCAGTTCAGGACGCTGCTCAAATCTCTCCTCCGCGAAGCACCAACGAAGATGGGCCGCAAAAAGGGGGGTCAACCCCCTGCCCTCTCCGCCGCATGCCAAACGCAAAGCCAATCATCTGGTTGCTGTTATTCTTCTTTCTATTGTTGTTTGCTTCATTTTCATCAATGAAACCGTCCTCCACTTTGGGTAGGGCAAGACTTTGAGCCCCGTCTTGGACCTCCTCACCAAGATCAGCGTGGGGAAGGCGCTGACTTGGATGCCCGCCTGCGAGGCCGTCTCCGGCAGCAAGTGGCGAAATAGGTCGAAGCGCGCGGAGATCACGTCCCCGTCCTTGGCCAGGCGCGTGGCCACGGCCGCAAACACCGGGGCGAACTGCACGCAGTGCGAGCAGTGCGGGGAGTAAAACTCCAGAAGTAGATCCTGCTGCGTGCGCAACACCACCTCCTCGAAGTTCTGGGGATCCACCTGGCTCTCTTTTTTAGGATGCCCCCCCATTTTAACGTTGGTTTTCACTTCAAGACCCGCCCAAATTGTGTTGCTTGTCATTGCGCTCTCTCTCTCTCTCTCTCCCTCTCTCTCTCTGTCTCTTTCCCATGGCACACGGCAAACAGCAAGCTCCGTGGGAAACAGGCAAACCGACAAATCTAGGTTGAGCCATGCAGTTTCAACGGACTGCCAACCGCCATGAGGGATCAAGCTGTGGCACTGCGTTGGACTGCATGCGATTGTTGGAGAGCAACGTGCTATGTCGAGCTCAACAAAGAGTGGATTGCACAAGGGTTCCATCACCTCCGAAGAGTGACCATTAATTATTTTTCGGTAGATTTTCGCTGAGTGTGCCCAGCGTCATCCCCTCGTCACATCATGAAAAGACCTCGAAACCTGTCAGGGTACGGAAGTCAGGCGCCTCAACGCAGGCATCGCACGGCAGATGCGGCACATTACCGAGCTGCGCTTTGGGCTTCTGGCGAAGAGCAGCGACTCTGGCCAAGTGCGTGTGCATCCCACACTCCGTTGCGCCGCTGGCCTGGAAACGGCCTCAGTTGGACACTTTGAACCTTGTCTGAATCGAGGTCGTCTTCCCTTCCCCCCGCGTCCCAAAGCCCACCCTGTTTTCGCAGGACTGTATGACGTGTGGGGGAATGTTGGTTGATGGTGGGTTTGGGGTTGGTTCAGGGTGGATTAGTGGGCTTGGAGTGGGCTACAGCGTTCAGGGGTGGCTTGGGGCTTGCTTGCTCCCTTGCCGGGGCCGCCCCTTAAACAGTACCCGTGCTCAAATCGCCCCCGCGACAACTCGAGCCTGCACGCTCAGACTCGCCGTCTTGCACTGGCCGCGTGTTCATCACGTCGCCAATGCTGCTGTACCCGCGGTCATGCAGAACGTTGTATGGCACGCGATGAGCATGGATGTAGTTCCAAACATCACTCAAGTCCCAGAAGGCCAAAGGGTTCATCTTCAGCCGCCTTATGACAGCTACATGGGGTACAGCACGACAGTCCCTAATAGGCAAAAAGGGTTGATTCAACCAAGAGATTTAAAACCCGTGGTCCATCTGCAACAAGCTCAATGCACCAATTTCCACCTTACAGTTGGGATGCCGCATTGCCATACGTTGCTACTATAGTCACTCCAGAGGAAGGCTGCCATCGCCATCCAAGAGTCCCTGCATCCTTCTCCAACAGTGGCAACTTTTCTCGGGCACCGCCTTGGGATCTGCGGCGACCAGTGACCCACAACCCAGGCGACAGCTCCCGCAGCGCACGGGAGGTGGGTTCGACCTTCGTGTGGAAGCTGTACCTCGGACGATCCGAAAAATGCATTGACTCATGCATAAGCTACACATATATATATATAATACTATGTATACTATATATGTACACACACTAGGACTCTTACGATTCAAACACAGCACTGCATGTTAGGCCCAGGGAACAAAGGAGAACACCTAATCCGAGCTCCGATGATTTCTGAGGCACTGATCGAAGTTGTCCTTCCAAAGCGCAGCGCCGTGGACAGAGTCAAAGCGTGCGGCCTCGTTAGCTCCGAAGCCGAGTGGATAGTAGACGTGAAGCTTCCTGAAGTTCGGCCATTGGAGCGCAACTGACTGGGTATTCACAATCCAAACGATCAAGCGGAGCAACTGGACAATCTCCGAGTCTCATGGTAGGATATCTTCTGGTGACATTCAACACGTGCTCATAGGTCTCCGGGAAGAGGTGCAGTGTGTCGATCATCACGACCGGGATCTGTTCCAGCAAGCCTGATCCGTCGAAATGCATTCACCAGCCCTGTGGATTTACAAACAGCCAGGAAAAGGGTCGGATTGTCGGCAATGATGCCAGCTTGCGACTACCACGGGAACCCGACGGCGAAAAACTTTTTTCTATATATATATGCTACCCCCCCTTGAAATACTCAGGTTTTTGGCCAGAACTGAGGTTTTTTGGCCAGACAGGGGGCGACAAATTCCTTGCGACTCTGAAATGAACTGACTGGACGCTCAACTCCATGCAAATTCCAACCAAGCAGAACTTAAGCTCAACGTTAAAGGAGCTGTGTGACCGTCACATTGGCGTGCGCGAAGTGCACTTAAAGTCACATTGGAGTATGCAAAGCTCACTTTGGCAGCTCCAGCTCAAAAAAACAACTGTCCAGTACAAGAGTAGTGCGCGAAGTATGTTTTGGCAGCCTCAACGCGCCAGTAGCAGCTCTACTATTGTGTGTTTATTATTTTTGTTTGGCAGCGAAATTCAGCAAATCATCAACTTGGGGAAAAGGAACTCATTCCTGCTTCATGTCCTTGCGCAGTTGCATTTTCATGTTAACTCGAGTGTTGTGCAGAATTCCACGTACATGCTAGTTCAGTCTATTTGAAACATATGTTGCAAAGCAACTATCCCATGTGTGTGTGTGTTGCTAGTCTAACTTGGTTCAATCATCGCCAATAACAAGCATTGAAATTCAAGCAAGGGAAGGATATCCAGTTTAAAACGCTTTCAAGTTCAAACCAAACTCAAGTTTACTCGTTTGGAGTTTTTTGTGCATTTCAAACACCAACTGGAGAAGATGGCTATTGTCCGAATCGAACTCCATGTGGTGGAGCCAGCAAGAACTGAGCCAAGCCAATGCCTGGAACGTGCTTTCAATCATAGATCTTATTATTGGCATAAATGCTGTAAAACGCAGTGTTTTTCAGCATTTGCTCAGATCGCGTTGCCCTGGATCGAAGATCGAGTATACAACATTCCGCAAACATATGTTTAGACATCCTCAATCCTGGTCCCCTAAAAACTTGACAGTTCGTGCTAGACTCATTAAGGTTTTGCCCCCTGCATTGAAGATTGAAGATCTACTATATATTCTATTGAGAATCTTCCATCCTGGCCAACCCTCAAGTCCACAAAAAACCTGCAAAGATGTCAACAACATGTTTTCTTCCTGGCCAAATGCAGGCAGTGTAAGTGCACATCCACAATTTGATTCTGACAAGGTGCACTCCCGGTTTGGCAGCGAAATTCAGCAAATAATCAACTTGGGGAAAAGGAACTCATTCCTACTTCATGTCCTTGCGCAGTTGCATTTTCATCTTAACTCGAGTGTTGCGCAGAATTCCATGTGCATGCTAGTTCAGTCTATTTGAAACATATGTTGCAAAGCAACTATCCCATGTGTGTGTGTGTGAGTTGCTAGTCTAACTTGGCTCAATCATCGCCAATAACAAGTATTGAAATTCAAGCAAGGGAAGGATATCCAGTTTAAAACGCTTTCGAGTTCAAACCAAACTCAAGTTTACTCGTTTGGAGTTTTTTGTGCATTTCAAAAATCAACTGGAGAAGATGGCTATTGTCCGAATCGAACTCCATGTGGTGGAGCCAGCAAGAACTGAGCCAAGCCAATGCCTGGAACGTGCTTTCAATCATAGATCTTATTATTGGCATAAATGCTGTAAAACGCAGTGTTTTTCAGCATTTGCTCAGATCGCGTTGCCCTGGATCGAAGATCGAGTATACAACATTCCGCAAACATATGTTTAGAACATCCTCAATCCTGGTCCCCTAAAAACTTGACAGTTTGTGCTAGACTCATTAAGGTTTTGCCCCCTGCATTGAAGATTGAAGATCTACTATATTTTCTATTGAGAATCTTCCATCCTGGCCAGCCCTCAAGTCCACAAAAAACCTGTAAAGATGTCAACAACATGTTTTCTTCCTGGCCAAATGCAGGCAGTGCAAGTGCACATCCACAAATTGATTCTGACAAGGTGCACTCCCGGTTTGGCAGCAAAATTCTTCAATTCCGCACTTAGGGCAATCCAGGATCTGAAGTTTGAAGATTCTCTGACAACTCTTTCTGAAATTATCCAAATATGTACTTAGGGCAATCCAGGATGTGCTAGCACGTGCTAGCACATCCTGGATTGAAGATTGAAGATTGAAGATTCTCAGGCCACTTGTTCTGGAAATCTTCAATCTATCCTTAGGACAAACTGATATGTGCTAGCATGTGCTAGCACATCCTGGATTGAAGATTGAAGATTGAAGATTCTCAGAGAGAGTTGTCAGAGAATCTTCAATCTTCAATCTTCAATCCAGGATGTGCTAGCACATGCTAGCACATATCAGTTTGTCCTAAGGATAGATTGAAGATTTCCAGAACAAGTGGTCTCAGAATCTTCAATCTTCAATCTTCAATCTTCAATCTTCAATCCAGGATGTGCTAGCACGTGCTAGCACATCCTGGATTGACCTAAGTACCGATGCTAGAATTTAAGTCTAAAACGGAATGCATTTTGGAGCCTCATTTTTAGAAGCTGGAACGTGTGTTTTGCATGCATTTTTACAGCCAAAATGCCAATTTCTTGCCAAAAACCTGAGTATTCCAGGGGGGGGTACCATATATATATATATATTATAAGAAAACGCAGTGAGTTTTCGTCCGCCAAAAGGCGTGCCTGAGGCTGCAAGCATGTCGATAATCACCATGCCAGAAGGACCAAAGCTACTGAACTGCAAGACATCGCCAGTCTTCACGGCCCACTGCAACATCTCCGTTGGAGACATCTGCGCCAACTTCTCGTTCAAAGCCTTGACTCGGTCCTGCCCGGCTTGCGACGGCCGACCGGCGACCGGACCAACTCCTACGCTAAGAGACAACTTCTGGGTGGCCGCCTCGATTTTGCTTAGTTGACTCTTGACGAAGAATTGAATCACCCACAGAACTTATTCATGACTATGAGGCAGCTTTCTTGGAAGAAAACCCCGCTTGCCGGTACCTTCCTGATTTGGGCAAGCTCAATTCGTCAGTCCCCCAAGCTCCAATGACCCATCTCTGACCCTTTTTGTTCAGCCATGTTCAACCCATTTCTTCCAAAACGAATGGACCTCTGGCCTCTCGCACGGTGTGTTCGAAGGAGCCCGGCCAAGCTGCGAAGCCGCAGAGGCACAAGGCGCCCAGGCCGAACTTCTTGGGGTGGCGCCGCAGAAAGGCGCCCAGCCCTCTCGGCTTTGAAAAAACCCCATGCCTTTCGTTCCAACGGGTCCCAACAAGGCACCAACCTTCATTTGGATGTGTTTTTCGGGTTGGTGCCACTTTTTTGGGTTGGTTCAGCGAAAGTCTTGTTGAAGGTTGGCTGGAACATCGGCGCAAATGGAGGGAGTTGTTGGGGAAATTGGGCCCGGGCGGCAATTGAGGGGACATGGGCGGACCTCCTAAGAACAAACAAGGGAACTTTGTGGGAAACTCGGGTCTAGCTCTTGAGTGGGGGAGTTGGGCAGGCTCATCTCCCAAAACCATCCGGCTCAATGTGAGGGTCCTTGGAGTTGAGTTCAGTCGCTTTAAGAAATAAAGTTTTAGAAATGGAAGCCCCACAAGATTACCAAAGCAAGTGGGATGGTCTTCTCACCCACAGCCCCTGATGGAATTTGGGGCCTCACAGTATGTCCTTTTGGCACCCCCAAAGCAACTCGAGGTGTGGTATGAGTGGTATGGGCTCCCCCAGGATCTGAACAAGCCCCCGGCATAGGGCATACCCAGCTTGTGGGAAGCTTCCCCATTTCACAAAACTCCACATTGACATGAGATATGGTCAATGTTCAGCGAACCCTCGACCGAGGTGGCGACTAATAATTCTCCTGCGGACATTTGGTTGGGGTTGGCCATGTCATCCCCGGTGAATGGGGTTGGGTGTCCAAGCATAGGAAGCCTGAAACAGCAAGCCTGAAACCCGGTTGGTTTCCCTTTGGCTTCCTACTCATTCATCCAGAGGGGGTCCCTCATCGTTGTGGACCATTTTCTTACTGCGACACCAAACTGAGAGCCCACTTTATCACTTTCTCTTAGTACAGAATGTGGCAAAGCCCTCTTCTACACAGAAATCCCTCATGTCATGTCCACTAAAGACCTCATTGGCTTGAAGAAAACGCTCGTGCCGTGGCCAAAACCAATCCCCGCCTGAGAAGGTCATGCGGGAGTCGGGCACTGTCTTGGGCTTCTCCTGCGATAGGCTTCCCAAAGAACCTAAAACTGCAGCTCTGGGGCCTGAAGTGAACGGGATCAGTCCAGTTGCAGGAAAAGTCTAGCAAAGGTCCGTGTCCTACCTGCCGATGCCCATGGTGCTTGTGAAAACTAAGAAGGGACTCCAAGCTTCAGCTGAGCTCCCTTCCCTGAAAAGTCCCTGAACCCCACCCAAAAGCAACCCGAAACCAAACAAACCAACTCTACGCCATCCTTAAATCGTCTCAAATCCCGCTCTAAACCTTTCCTAAACCAACCCTAAATCAACCCTGGACAAACCCAACCCAATCCTAAACCATCCCTAAAACCACAATAAGCCATCCTCAAACCATCCCTAGACCCGCCCCAAACCAGCCCTAAACCATACCTAAACCAACCTTAGCACACAACACAAAGGGAGACAATGCAAAACCCATTCACAGGGCATGGGACCCAGCAGGGTAAGTCATGTCCACAGTGTGTTGCTTTGCCAACGGAACAGCAAGCTCTTCCTCGCATCGTAACACCATCTGCATCTAGATGTATGCCGTTTGCACGCGTGCTCAATCTTACACGGCAGAGAGTATGCACGTTCGAAAGAAGAGCCCCCGTTTGCGCAAGTTCGGAGGCAGGGCGATTGGACCGCCGACTCTTCTTCCACGCCCACTAGTAGTGCTCATAGCGAGGGAGAAAATGCAGTCATGCCCCAGACCATACACCCCCAGTTTCTAACTGCGACGATTGAACATGGCGATTTCGCTCGTGCCTCCGCGCCGTGATCCAGGCGCCGCTTCATCACAGCACCATGGCTACTATGCGAATGTGTGTCATGCCCCACCCAAACAGAAGCAGCGTGGAATGACAAAGCACAAGTCGAGGGATTAGGAATTCTGCACCTTACCTTGTGATTCGGCATTCGAGTTTATGCATTCAAGGCTCCAAATGAATTTGGATGTTTACAAGGGAGACCAAAGCGCAAAAAACAAATAAAATACTTCTGGCACTTTGAGACAGAGCCAACATGCGTACATGCGTGCACGGTCTCTAAGCCACTCTCCCGCGCAAAGGGACATGCCAAGAAGCGCTTCATTGTCTTTTTTGGGAGGTCCCCGAATTTGAGCTTTGGCAATCCTGAGGATCCAAGCTTTTCCCTGGATGCTTTTAGAAGGCACTGGACGCGAAAGCCATCATACAAGAGACTCCCCAATTCCCAACACAAGGGGCACTAAACTTGGGGTGGTCTGCCCGGGAGGCGTGACGTTTTCGGGGAAAACGCCCGCCTGGGTACTGGCGCTGGCCTCGTCCGGCCTGGCCGTCGATTGAGGCCCACCCCAGCCTGAAGCAAAACAAGCACAACTGCGGGGTGTTGCTGCTTTAAACCAACCGCCTTGGGTCACTTGGTCATGTTTTGCCAACCCTGGCACCCTTCCAGACATGCACAAGCCTTGGAAGACCCCTTCCGTTTGGAAAAGGGAGGTTACTTGCTTGCTGTTGGTGGGGAAGTGCAAAGGGAATCTGGGCCACCAAAAAGCTGTTCTAATTCATGTCCTTGCAGACAACCCCTTGAGCAGCAAAAACACACGCGGTTCCCATCATGGACATGGGGCAACAAAACGAGCACATCTACTGGATGGCGGAAACTTGGATGAACCACACCGGCCATGCCAGTCGGCTTGCGCCTGGCCGCTGGCGCCTTTGCAAGCAGCCCGCTGAGCGCGCCGGCTGCAGACGAGGACATTACCTCGGATGAGACAACACATGTTGTGCAGGCATCAAATCTGTTGAAAATCAGAAGAAGGCATTTATTTATGGCACAGATTCACTTTCCCAGCATGCCAAGAGAATCTTGCGATCGCTACCAGCTCTTCCCCCACCCTCCTTTCTCTCATTTGCATCTGAGGCCACAGCGGTGGATTGATTCAGCACCGATTTGGCAGCTGCCCTGGACACTGACAGTTCAAGACTTCCAGCCTAACTTTGTCTCATCCTGACAGTCTACTTCAACCCATGCTCCGTGTCAACCCTTGAGTCTCCCGCGATCGCTTTGGCTGCGGCGCCTGAAAGATTCTTGCATGATTCTTGCATGCTCCTTGCATGGTCCTGCATGGTCATAGCATTCTGCCATAGTCTGCGGGTCAAAACGCAGAAAATGCGACATTGCTGGGGCGATGACGCTAGAAGCCGTGGCTGGGTCGGGGCTGGAACTTGCCTTCCAGTGCAAAACTCATTCCACCTTCTCTCTAGCTTGCATGCGGCGACGTGCCCCAACTCCATTTCTGGCCATGTGGTAATCTGGCATGCTGTCCGAACCCTTGCCTCCTCACCATCAGGCCTAGCGAGACATCTCATGTCGCAGTCTGCACATCTGTGCTGCTCGCTCACTTGCTTGCCACAAGTGAAAGCAAAAGCAGCAGTCAAACCTCGGCCACTCCCAACGCGCGCCTGGCCGCTGGCGCCTTTGCAAGCAGCCCGCTGAGCGCGCCGGCTGCAGACGAGGACATTACCTCGGATGAGACAACACATGTTGTGCAGGCATCAAATCTGTTGAAAATCAGAAGAAGGCATTTATTTATGGCACAGATTCACTTTCCCAGCATGCCAAGAGAGAATCTTGCGATCGCTGCCAGCTCTTCCCCCACCCTCCTTTCTCTCATTTGCATCTGAGGCCACAGCGGTGGATTGATTCAGCACCGATTTGGCAGCTGCCCTGGACACTGACAGTTCAAGACTTCCAGCCTAACTTTGTCTCATCCTGACAGTCTACTTCAACCCATGCTCCGTGTCAACCCTTGAGTCTCCCGCGATCGCTTTGGCTGCGGCGCCTGAAAGATTCTTGCATGATTCTTGCATGCTCCTTGCATGGTCCTGCATGGTCATAGCATTCTGCCATAGTCTGCGGGTCAAAACGCAGAAAATGCGACATTGCTGGGGCGATGACGCTAGAAGCCGTGGCTGGGTCGGGGCTGGAACTTGCCTTCCAGTGCAAAACTCATTCCACCTTCTCTCTAGCTTGCATGCGGCGACGTGCCCCAACTCCATTTCTGGCCATGTGGTAATCTGGCATGCTGTCCGAACCCTTGCCTCCTCACCATCAGGCCTAGCGAGAAATCTCATGTCGCAGTCTGCACATCTGTGCTGCTCGCTCACTTGCTTGCCACAAGTGAAAGCAAAAGCAGCAGTCAAACCTCGGCCACTCCCGACGCGCGCCTGGCCGCTGGCGCCTTTGCAAGCAGCCCGCTGAGCGCGCCGGCTGCAGACGAGGACATTACCTCGGATGAGACAACACATGTTGTGCAGGCATCAAATCTGTTGAAAATCAGAAGAAGGCATTTATTTATGGCACAGATTCACTTTCCCAGCATGCCAAGAGAATCTTGCGATCGCTGCCAGCTCTTCCCCCACCCTCCTTTCTCTCATTTGCATCTGAGGCCACAGCGGTGGATTGATTCAGCACCGATTTGGCAGCTGCCCTGGACACTGACAGTTCAACACTTCCAGCCTAACTTTGGCTCATCCTGACAGTCTACTTCAACCCATGCTCCGTGTCAACCCTTGAGTCTCCCGCGATCGCTTTGGCTGCGGCGCCTGAAAGATTATTGCATGATTCTTGCATGCTCCTTGCATGGTCCTGCATGGTCATAGCATTCTGCCATAGTCTGCGGGTCAAAACGCAGAAAATGCGACATTGCTGGGGCGATGACGCTAGAAGCCGTGGCTGGGTCGGGGCTGGAACTTGCCTTCCAGTGCAAAACTCATTCCACCTTCTCTCTAGCTTGCATGCGGCGACGTGCCCCAACTCCATTTCTGGCCATGTGGTAATCTGGCATGCTGTCCGAACCCTTGCCTCCTCACCATCAGGCCTAGCGAGAAATCTCATGTCGCAGTCTGCACATGTATGTTGCTCGCTCACTTGCTTGCCACAACTCAAAGCAAAAGCAGCAGTCAAACCTCGGCCACCCGTCGCGCGCCTGGCCGCTGGCGCCTTTGCAAGCAGCCCGCTGAGAGCGCCAGCTGCAGACGAGGACATGACCTTGGCTTTTGATCTGGAAAGCCAGCTTCCCTTCTGAGCACGTTGCAAGCTCACCTTAATCATGATTCACGAGCCCAGTTACCTCGCCCTTTGGTACGTGTCCCATCCCCCTCGTTGGTGAGGCCTTTTCCTTGCTCTCGCAGAGATGTCAAGGCCGCTTTAATTCGAGAGACTGCACACGCATGCTTTAATTCTAAAGCAGCGATGCAGCTCATCCTCTCACCTGTGTTGAATTAACTGGCTCGGATTTCACATTCAATTTGAGCGACTGCCGCTCTATCCGTTTTTTCAGTACGGACTCTGAGCCATATCTCTCAGTTCATCCCCCCTAATCTCTGCGTCTCAGTTTGCCTTGGAATCCATGCCAGGTCTAGCAACGCTGCTAAGCTTCGGATCAAACTGGAGCTGATTGAGGAGTGAGGCAGAGCTTCTATGATGCCGAAGTCGCTGAACCAGCGAGGCCGTGACTCCCCAATCGCCCACCAAAAAACCATTGCGCTCAACTAAGCGCCGCGATCATCGGCTGCATTGGGAAACCTATGCAATGAAGGTTCATGCCGAAATCTTTGGCACGCTGTGACGGAATGCTTCTTTGTGTAGGGGCGCAGCGTTGACAGCATTTGTTGCGAGCTCGGCTCTAAATCCCAGAGAGCAGCGCCCCAAATCTCCAAACCGTGAGAGGAATCCCCGACCAGCGTGGTTCTTTGGGTCAACGCCGACTCAGAGCGGGCGTTGTCTTCCCGCCTTTCGCCGGCGAACAGCCCCGCAGCAGCTCCACCAAGCGCCGCTTCCGCGGAAGCTGCGGCTCCGCTTCGGCGACGGCCGGGGCAAGGAGCCTAGCCCAGGGAAAGGAGTCGGGCTTGTTGGAAAAGCCTCCTTTTGCTGTGTATCTTTGCTCCCTCTGTCCCTCTGTTTCACGCCACGTGTTCTTGCTGGCTTGTCTTTCTGGTTTCGTTCTGTCTTCCCTGCTTCCGGCCCTTCAGCTTCTATCTCCTTCCCCTTGCCCTCTTTTGCTACAAGCCATAGCCTCTGGGCTTCCTCGAAGTGCTGCCGCAGTCGCCCGCACACGTCCCCAGGGGACCTGAGCGCAAATTTCCGCCGATGGGTCACTTCAGTGGAGCCCGAACTCTGAACTTCACGTTGTCCCCAATCTTCCCAAGTCCGCCAACTGAAGAGATATGAAGAGATCTGTGTCCCTTGGGCTTCAAAATGTTTGAAACAGGGTCCAACTGGCTACGCCAGAGTTTGTCGACACCCTGGTTGGAACTCTTACAGCATTGGTGGCCCTTGTTCAGCGACGCAAACAAGGGTACTGTATCAACTCAAGAAAGGTGAGCCCATAGCTTTTTGGAAGGTTGTCAGCATTATCTCTGCGGCGATGTAGCAAAGCGAGCTTCCATTGGGATTCTTTTGAAAGGGCGAATATGAGTTCTACAGTTCCAGGGTCGAACGAGATGGCATCGCGAGGGCCTTGAATGGGAACGGTAGAATGTCATCAGCACACCATCACCATCACTCCGTCCCCATCACCTATCACAGGAGTTCTTTCGCAAGGGAGTTGCAACTCAAAAGGACACTCCCCCCGTTCAGGCCCCTTGTGAACGGGGGCTGCACCAGGTCCCAACCTGAGTCGCACTCACAACCTTCTCAAAGGCAGGTTCCCAAAATTGAGATCGCCGCACCTTAGTGCCGGTCCCCCCTCCAATTTATCCAGGCTTTGCTTACTGGGAGAGGGGCTCTCGGACATGATGCCGCAGCCAGCTGCTGAGCTGGCGCCGCAGGTTTCTGGCCTTGCTGCCGTGCTGAGCCCATCGGGCGTCCAGCAGCAGCCTCGAATGACCGAAGGACAAGTTGAAGTGGACCTGCAGAAAATTTCGCCCAACTGGCGAGCTGGATTTGGTCAGAAGTCTTTGCTCTTTCCTTGTTGCAGTTTCCTTCCTTTCGCATTGATCCAAGGGTTCCGGGCCACAGTCCCGCGCCCGTTTGGAGATAGCCTCCTTTAGCCAAAGGCCCGGAAGACAAGAAATAGAGGAAACCAAACCAGGTACCGACCTTCCAGGGGACTCTGTTTGCTGACAAGTCTGGCTTTGGCAATCCCAATGGGGCAAGTGAGTGCCCAAAAACTGGTGACACATCAAGGGCTCTGCCCATTGAAGAGGGAGTAGGTTCTTGATATTCGACGGCCGCAGCATCTATGACTACCAACTTGTTGACCCGGAAGACTCTGTCCAAGCAGCAAGGCGCCATAGTCGCGGCTGTGCCGCAGCAGCCGGCCCAAGGCCTTTCGGCATGCAAGCTTATCCCTTGAATCCAAAGCGGCATTCTTCAAACCACCAAAACAAATCAGAGGCTCAGAGCCAGCAAAAACAGGGGGCGAAAAAAATCAACAAAAAACATGGGTGCCCTTGTCTAGGATACAACCACATGGAGGGCTCTCTTCTTGATCCAAACAAAAGCGCCTGGTTCACAGCTCGGTGTGCCTGCAGCTCGTACCACTGGTCTCCTCAGTCCAAACGCGCCGCTCGACTGTGGCATCGAAGGCACGTCGGACGGGCTGAAAATGACACTTGGCTTCAATCTAAAATCACTTCAGCCTCCGACCCTTAAAAATTGGGTGTCTGTTCCTTTCAAATGAGCAAAGCAGCGCCCAACACCGATGACTTCTGGTTCTGCTTAATTGGCCACAAAGGTATATATGTATAGTATAAACAAAACTGCGGCGCCCACATTTAAACACACGGATCCTTAAATAGTACACATATTTGATACTACCTCCTTGAAGCCCACAAACATCCCGAACGAATAGACATCTTTTGACTACCTCAGAGGTTTCAGAAGGCCCACTTAGGAACGCAACCCACATGCAACCCCGAGAGCTGGAGCGCAGCGCCGCCGGCACAAACTCAACAGATCTCAACAGCCTAGACTGCCATCTGGACATTTGAAATCTTTGAAATCTGGAGGGAATGCAGGGCCGCAGGGCCTGAGGAATTGAAACTTGGGCCCTTGAAATCTGGAGGCTTGGACCCTGAATGTATCCGAGATTGAGACTTGGACCCTTGAAATGAGGCTGGAGGTGCCTGAGGGCTCGAACATGAACGGGGAGGTGCCTGATGGGGCCTGAGAGTCTGAAGGCCGGGGCGTGATACCAGGCCTCACCCTTCAAGTTTGGAGAGCCTTCAAAACTTGGAGAGCCTCGAAACCTCAAAGTCCTAAGTTGGAGAGGTAAACAAGCGGAGCCAAGAACAACTTGCTCTTTATACTACCTCTGATGGCCACGTCCCGAGCCCGCCTTGACACTTTTCACAACCGACCGCCCTCCACGTATTTATTTGTAGGCACCGTATATTACATATATGTATATATATATATATGTATACATATGTACTATAGGCGTTAAACTATAATCCCAATCAACCCAAGTAGTGGGACCCCCAAATAAATTGGACAATTGTTTCTTTTTGCAGCTGGAGTTTGACGCCAAGACGCCGGACAGCAGGCCCACCCGGGAGGAGGCCCTCTTTGCGTCATTCCACTGCCTCTTCGCGAGCACGACGGCGTCATTCCTTGCCGCCAAAGAACAAAAGCCTTGAGATCGAAGTGCTTCTGTATTTTCAGGCAAGACGCATCTGCGGGTAGGGCACGCCTACACAGATCACAGCCCTGCAAAGGTCGTCAGCGAAGTCTAGTCCTGTGGCAAGACTGTGACTTTTTGTTCTATCCCAGTGGCTTCCGTACTCGCACTTTCACCCAGCCCTTCCTTTTGATAAAGAAATCATTGAACCGTATCTGAGGGACTAGGCCGAATGGGGTCTTTCGCCCGAATCCACTGCCGGTCCTTCGCTCATCTTGCCGCGATACACGGCCAGGCACAGCGCACCGGGCCCATTTCTGACACCTGAACCCATGTCACTTTGCACTTTGCCAGTTTTGTCCGAAGCGTGGCTGAAACCATGCTGAAACCTTCTCGACGTTGAAGAGGAAGCTTCTCACATTCGAATAAGCGCATGGATTTGAGGCTTTTCGGCAGAGAAAATAACCCACTGTGTTCTTCCAAGCCCCACGGTTCCAAGTACCTCGGTTCCCAAAACCCCACGGATCCCCACGGATCCCCACAGTTTTCGCGTGTGAAAGGCGCTGGCCACGAAGCTGGCGCAGGCCGCTTGCAGCTGGCCGCCGCCTCGAGGCTCCAAGATCACCGTCTTCACCTGCGAAAATGACACCAAGGTAGGCAAGGTAAATGTACTATAGCATATACACATACGTACATGATATGTATATATAAATATATAGCCTAATAATTAGTAGCTTGTATTTATACATAATATATGCATACATGTTTAACAAATGTTGTTACAAAATATCTTTATATGTTGCATCACAATGTGTATGCAGTCTCATATATTCGGCTAGCGCGACCGCTGGATGTCGGCGACGCTGGGGGGCAGGCGCTCGCCACGGGCACTTTTGGGTTGTTGCTGCGGTGCTTTCAAGAGCGGCTTTGCGTGCAATGAGCATCAAGCACAGGGGGGGGGCGGAGTGGGAAACTGTGCAGGTAGCACGATGCGATACGATGCGATGCAATGTGAATGTTGCGACGCTAAGCATCAAAGGTTGGCAGCTTTCAATCTTAACGCCAATGAACTGCAGCGAGCGAACAAGCAACAAGAGAACGCAGGCGCGCCAAACGTGCAAGAAGCGAGCTTCGCTTGCCGCAAGGCGAGGTCTCGGGCCGCGCAACATACAGCAAAGCAGTTGCGCACGGCCGCACGGCACAAATGGAAGCACACTGCTAAGTTACTAGTGTGAATGGCTGGCGCTAGCCCACTGAGCTCCAAACACTTTAGGCAGGCTGCAAGAAATTCGAACAAATCCTGCTGGAAAACCTCCATGGAAGACAATCAAAGATCAGGAATTCCTTGGCCGGCCAGGGCGTGCCTCGAAAAAAGGGAGGTGCCTCTCCCTTGGCTCACTATGTTCACTCGCTTTCTTAGCTTCCC